GGATCGTAAGTAGCCAGCGGCAAAATGATCTTTTGTGTAGAGTTTAACATGCATTTCTATCCAACATCAAGCTGCTCATGTTGTCGTTCCCAGCCATTGGAGTCTTTTATTTCACTTCTCATTATCTGAGATGAAAGCCTAAAGAACTTTAACATGGATTTGCCAAGTCTTGTCCTTTGTTGGCTGGCGTCCGCTCACGTGGGGGCACACAGATCTGCTGCACATCGTCTGGCGTGGCAAAGTGATTATGCCTCCCGATGCCGATGCAGTTTTTGAGTTTTTTTCAAATAATTTATGTCAATATTTTTATTTGAAATGTTTTGAGTGTTATTGATAATTTAAGTTAAATTTTAGATCAATAATTTATGGTGAATTTATTAACAAAAATGTCAATTTTTTATTTCAAATGTCAAAATAGTTTTTGAATGTTATTAATATATCAATAATCAATTTTATATTTTTCTTTGCATGATTTACAATCCAAATAAATTTCCTTAAACACTGTTAGAGTTAAAAAAGGATGGTTTCACTTCAAGATAAATTTTTCAGTGGTATATCATGTGCCTCTACATTATCATATTTTTTTCCTCATGCTATTTCCCACAAAGTTTTAAAATGGGGAGGAATGTATACAAGAAAATTTTGAACATAATACAGAGGTGTAATGATGAAAGGGGAGCATTATGTACCTCGCATTATGTGAATTTTAATTAAGCATTATATATTTTTGTATTGTCAATTGCTTTTGCGAAAGTTTATAGGTGCATTACCTGTTGTATTTTGTTCCCACGACATCAAATTTGGTACATCATTACTTTATGATTAAGCAATTTTTATAAAAAAATGAATATTAAAAATTGGGAAACTTATTATTTAAATGTTTTGATGATGAAAAAAATGATAAAAGAGAAAAATGATCACATGTATGTGACTGTTGTGCTAACAGTTGGATGAAGATCTAAATTATTAGATATAGTCCATTTGTTGTGTGCTTAGATTTTTCAGGCATAAAAAAGAAAAATAGTCATCAAGCGATAAGAAAAAGTAAAATTAGAATGTGAATGAACGAAAAATCACTCAAGCCTCTTGTAGATCTAACCCAAGTAGTTGACTTCATCAATTAACTCAATTGCTGTACAATCATAATTGAGGAGAGAGAAACTCAATGAGGTTGACATGACAACCAACATTTTAAACTCTTGAGAGAGAAGAAAGAAGATTCTCATTAAAATGTAATGTCAGACAGCTAAGATCATAATAACAAGGCTACAATTATCTGATAATTTGGAATGAAACATTGTACATTAAAGGATCAAAATAATCAAGGAATCTCCTACTGGCATGTTTGCACAACAATTCATTCAAAAGCTAGTCAATTGAGCAAACTACCCAGTGTTTTAAGGTGGACACAAGAGTCCAGCAAAAATATCTTTGACTAAACATACCTACTTTTTTCCCTGCAACTAAACTGTGAACTATGCTAGTTGTTTGACACATTAGAGAAGATTTCTCAAACGCAGTCATAGTGACATAATCACATTTGGAAATTAAGAGTGGCTTGTCTATTCTCACGCAATCACGTTTGACAAAGAAAACCTTCTCTAGATGAAGCAATTCAATTTGAATACCGCAGCACATTATTGAGAGAAGGCTCCTTCAAACTTAGCGAGGAGCTGTAGCTTTGAGCTTTCCAATTGATATGACAGTGACGTCGGTGGAGCGTTGGCATGAAGAATTTGATTATTCAGCACAGAAATATTCTTCTCCTTATATCACAACATCCCCGAGTTTGACATACATTTAAGATTTCTCGCTAATCTACAAAGTCTGCCAACCCATCTTTCGAACTGAGGAAAGGCCCCTATGCATCCTAGGATATTCACGCCTTATGGAGGGCTACTTGTGACAATGAACCACGTGACACTACCATTCAGAGTACTGGTGATCATGCCTCAAGCCGATGGGGAAGGGGGATGGCGCCTGCGGGCGTGGTCATAGAACTAACTGCACTTGGGCTGCTGCTCCCCGGGTGAAGATGCTCTGTGAGGAAGGTGAAGCAGAAAGGCTGAATTCTGCCAATACAAGAACGTAGTCTTTTGTGAGGCAAAGGTACATCGGATTAACATTGTAGATGAGATCCTTCTATTAGTTTTCCCCGCGAAATGACAAGAGCTAGCAAATTTACATTTCGCTGCCGATACACATTTGCAATTTACATTTTTCTAGAAAGTTTACGTTTATCTAGAAAATATAGCAAATTTACGTACTCATAAGTGGAGGGCTGATACTTCATTTTTCCACCGATACGGAGATCAGAATTTTCTTCTCAAACTCTGATTCATAAGATATGTTTCGCCGCCCTATTAATTGGAGCTGCCAGTTTACGAACTGCCACCCTTATCAGCAGGCTTCCAACTGTTGGTGACTTAATGGTCCGATCTGGATTGCACTCCCCTTAGTAGTCTCTATATAACATCCCAAGCATCTCTATAATGTCCCCAGCATCCCCTCCTGTCCTCTTTTCTCACTCTCGAACCAAATCCCCCATACATCTTGACTTCATTTTCTGGTGCCATGGCCTCGAAGACTCAAGCCACGGCGTGACTCCTTGTTTTGTATTTAATGTTCTACACATTCGCCTCTGGCCAATTCACTCCTACCATCCCTAATGTCATTCCATGCCTCTTGAATGCCGTGGGACTAGCCGCCTGCTGCATTCTGCTCAACGTCATGAAAGTTGGAAATATCACTGACCTATTGTTGCAGCCTGCTGCACTTTTCGCGCACCTCTTATGAGTGAGCAGGCAACCAAATGCATATATATCGTGATAACTCACAATTTCCTTGGTGTCAACGTCACCGTCCCTGGTGGCATTGGTCTGATTCTGAAATCCTGCGTAAGCAGATATCTGTCCTATTTTGTCCATAGTTCCCAACAGCACACTCTGCGCCAGAGAAGTTTCCCCTCCATCCTGAGGCGCCCTATGAGGTTTGACTGCCGTGGTTTTACCGTGGATCAATCTGTCCTCTTTCCTAAATAGTGATGTAACATCAGCTGTATGGGTCAGCGGCAGACTCCGGTCTCCACTTTCCGAACCCCACCCACAAAAGGATAATTGTGCTTGTAACAAAGATCTTTCCAGTGCAATTGGTCTGAAACTGTGCCCCCTCAGAATGGGAGTTTTTTGTCCAACTTATGGGCTAATCCTCCAAAAATGGTATTTCTGTCCGTGTAGAATTGAGAGGGAATTACGTACGACCTCTTTCGTTTTAGACGGCACCCTCATGCGTGGAAAGCGTCAAGGAAAGATTCTCCGTTGTTCAAATCTTATGACCACGTGGTACGACATGCGACGGAGTACCTCATACACGAGTCGGCTGATGTCCATTACATGAGCTACCTGATGCACTTTACCGAGAAGCAACTCCAAATGTGCATGTGGGCTGTGGGGTAGTCCTATCGTGGGTAACGTTGCACCTGTGTAGGCTGTTAGCATGGCTTGTAGGATTGGATAATGAAGATAGTTGCCACCTTCCTCACTTTTGTCACGGTATTTTTCAGCATCAACAAAGGACAATGTTGATGTTTTGGCTCTAAAGCTGCTCTCCTAGTTCTTTCGCTCGAATTAGCTCTGAGACCTCCACGTTATTTCCGGCTCTAATCTGGATGCCACAGATGTCTGTGGGAGATTTCTTCACACGACTTTCCCTGAAAGAACATGATCCAGCTTGGCATCTAGCGTATTGAGGCCAGCATTGATATGATGAACAAGTGTCTTGCCTTTTCTAGAAAATTGATTGAAACTTTGTCATGGATGGAAGGGTTGAGGTTGTGGAATCTGATGTTGCGGAAGGAATGTTTGGATCAAATTTGAGATGCAAGTTTGAATGTGTCTTATTAAAGATCTTTTGATTGTCAATAATGGTATATTCCTTACTAATAAAAGTGGTTTTGTCAATGTGGTAGCTCCTTTCAGATCGGTTGACGTTTCTCCCATAAGATCAACATTAAAACTAAAAGAATTCGAGTCACAAAAATAGCTTAGAGGAGTGCAGAGTTCAGCTTAGTAGTTGTTTGCGTTTATTTCACTGTAAATGGTTCAAATTTGACTTTCCTTCCAATCATAATGTAATGGACAAGGAAAAGCAGTCCTTTTGTTGCCTTGTTAAAACTTTTGGCCCTAGCAAGTAAGATATGTGAAAGTCTATGGTGAAGAATTCTTGAAAGCAATGTTAGTTGAGAAGCACGAACATGGGAAGAAATGTTAGGATATGTAAAACATCTCAAATATTACATCCTATAATCTCACTATCAGCTGTAAATATTCATTGTGCTCAAATGGATAAATGGATTTGTCACCAAATATAGAATAATTACACCTTATGATATATTATTGTTTGTGAGACAAAAAAAAAAAAAACCTTTTGGTAGAGCTAGTAAGACTAAATTCAGCAGAAGTGATGTTGCTGCATAAAATTTCTTATTCAAATAGGATATACTTTATGTGGATTAGAGATCAGATTCAGCCAACCAGAGTTCCTAAGGAGTATGATAGTGTAGAAAATAAAAATTTATATTAAAAGTTCGCTAGTAAAAAACACCCCGTCAAACTTATTCATTTGGAATAGATTGAAGGAATTACATATTATCCTGAAGTAGTCATAAAGTTGAAGAAGAATAAAGATAAGTATGATAGGGTTTATATGGTATTTAAAAGAATATATATTTTCCCATTGTTTAATCTCTTTATAAACCTTTCTTAAAATGTGTAAATTTTATGTTCAAGAAGCAAAAAATATTGTGTGTGTCTTATAGAGTCTATCATTGTAAAATTTTATTTATATATAAAAAAAAGTTCTTCCTAAATCCCTGTCTCATACTTGTAAGCACATATTTTCCAAATATCATATATGATATAATGCATGAACTAATAGCAGTAAGATGTATATTTGAAGATGATGACTTATTTACTTTGAACATATGCATGTCTCTTAGAACTTCATTTCTTCAATTTTAAAATTATCTCAAGATGACCTAGGAGAATGTCCTCGTACATGAACATTAATAGTTCAGCAACCTGTTCAAGCTCTATAGTTAGAAGTTAGGAGAAAACAGTAACACAATCTATCCTCTTTTCTTTTTTTCAGGTGGGTAAAATAAGAAGGAAACATACAGTAAAAGATTTTTTTTTCTGAAATCTTATAGATATATTATAATTTGATGATTGAATACATAAAATCATCATTAAATCATGAAGTCGGTGTCAGTGGATTGTTTCACATAAATGAAGCGGGCCTGTAATATTTATATAAATTCAATGTGGACAGCATTTTTTTATTAGATATTAAATTAAATAAATTTGAAATTATAGATAAACTTCTAGTTTTAATGAAATTATAGATAAGCCTGAATATTATTCAAGTGGGATCCAAGTCTTTAAAAAATTCATATCAAGAAGCTTACCCTGTGGTCATTGCCTCCTAGACTCCTTTAAAAAACAAAACTCTTATCTCCCCTCCCCTAACCAGCTAATCCTGGTATTGTCTCTAACCTTCTCATAAGTGGCAGCCATTCAATTCCTTTTAGCCATAACTAAACTTAGAAGAAAATCATGGGCCCTTGGTACTCACTAAGAAGAATACGATGGGATCAGCTGTAATGCTGCTAAAGCATTCGAACGTAGTCGCAAATGAAGACCCATAATTCAAAGCAAATAGATAAATTACCAGCTTGAATCATGATTTAAAACAAGTGACTAGATAGTGTACCTCGTCAATGCTTCGATCCTCGATTTCCCTGTCAAATTGTAAAAGCATGAACTCAGCAAGCATATTCACCAAGTCGTCGATGCAGAGGGGAACTATAATGAAAAATCTACGTGAGGAAAGTCGGCCAATGTAATCATGTAGAAAGAAAAATTTAAACGACATAATGGGAGGTCGTCTGACAATGCGAAGACGTTGGTTATATTAATCGTTGTATGAAATAATGTTCGATCCATTCGTTACTAGAATGCTGTATCGTCTGCGATTAGGTTCGTCCCGTATATCGACTCTTCCTGGAGTTTGTGGATTGTTAAGTAAAACTAACTTGTCCCTTGCATTGTCTTTCTCAGGAAGAGCTCAAGCTTTGAGGAGGCCCACCCCAAGCTTGAGCGTCAATAGAATAAGTCAAACTTTAGCCTCCAATCAAATTCAACTTCCAGCGTCTATGGCGCCCCATTGGACGCGAGGCTATCAAGACGATCTAGGTCTGAACCCATTTCTACTAGGCCTCCTCAAAAGACGACATCAGACTGTGATCAAGGTCTCTCTCTCTCTCTCTCTCATCTCTCATCCACACACACACCCACACACAAACACATTTATGTGTTCGAGGATGCAAGACGATTAGGGTAACCTTTAGAGTGGGAGAACCAGAAGAGAAGGGAATCCACAAGCTGTCGGGATTTGAAGTGGGGCTGCCTCCCGCCCTATCCCTTCTCCATGGCCGTCTGGAGCGCCGGCCAGACGGACAGAACCAGGTAGGTTCCCGCCCCCATAGCCGGGAGGTTTGACTCCGACAACTCCTGCCTCGCCGCCGCCGTCGCCGTCGGATGTTGACATCCTCCGTCGATGGGACCCATCATCTCTGTGGCTCCCTCCATGCTTCCCCTTCAGCCCCCTCTCCACTGGGTCAACGGAGGGGCGCAGGAAGTCCGAAGGGAGGGGGGAGGATAGAGAGAGAGAGAGAGAGAGAGAGAGAGAGAGAGAGATTAGGAGAAAGACAGAGGCGCTACTGGTAGAGAGGGAGGACCAGTGGACCTTGCGGACGAGAGCCCCTTGGTGCACACGCGCCACGAATAACTCGAACTGTTTAAAAAGGAAATCAACGTCCGGAAATTTCTAATTTGTTAATAGCGTTAACCTTGAATGGTAAACGCAATGGACCCCCACGATCAGCTTTAGTCCGTTTGAAGTTGACTCATGTAGGGTGTTGATCACGACATAAACAATACGTCAAAATTGACAGAGCAATTACTCTGCTTCTCTTGTGAATACAATTTTGCATAATATATATGTAGTAATTAATTATGTATATATATTCGAGTTCAATCAATGGCTGAAGTACCATAAACATTGACTGCAAGTGGTGGCCAACAGCTGTGAAAAAACCAACAAAAAATAGACATTGACCTAATCTCTTAACAGTTTGATGTGGAACATTTTCATATTATCAAAAGTTCATTGTCATTAACATGCAAAAGCTGGTAAGCCACATGTTAGAGATAGCCAGACTCATAAAACGATATCAACATGATGATTGAATGAGCTTTCCACAAATTCAGATTTTGATGGGTTCCTTTGCATGTATGACTTCATGTTTGAAATAATTGCTTCAAGTTGTAAGCCAATCACTTAACAATTTATCATGCTTTTGAGTGTTTTTCAGAGAAGAATCTAATTTGTTATGACTTTATTTTCGTGCTAATTTTAAATAGCAAAATATGATGAGAAGATTTTGCTGTCCCATTTTTCGCTCCTAGATCATAATAAGTTGAAATGGATGCATAGAATAGTCTAAGAGAGGGATTTAGAGAATTGAACAAGTGATAATCTTAACTTGAATAGTTAAAATAACTTTCTAATGGATTTTCATGTGCTTCCCAGTATTCACACGTGATGTTTAACTTCACATATTGAGTGGCATCGTGAAATGATTCAGGGCCTCTTTAAATATAGAGACATGCTTTGCTTATTTTTCTTTGATTTCTTTATTTTTTTTATTTATTCAATAGAAATAAAATACATCATTGTTATGAACAGATTTAATAGGAGAAGCTAGCCACCCTTTAAGCAATTATTTCTTGTCATAATTTAATGTTAAGTACTTGTGATATGTGAAGTTAAACATCACTTGTGACTACGAGAATGCATACGAAGATATCTGCTTTCCTTCTTCATTTTTTACTTCTTTATTTTTTTTATTTACTTTAATACAAAATAACAAGGAACGGCTTTCACAAGAGAGAGCACCCTATGCTTACTTTATTTAAATCAGCGCTTTGCGCTTTTACTAACACTATTTGCAGAGTCAGCTTCTTAAGGTTGACATGGTTGTTGCGCATATGACAATTTCTATATTTTATTATATCTCAAATGGCCCTAAAATATAATTCTTAAAAAATCTACAATTAACTCCACAAGTTTATTGTCCACTGAAATTATGATGCTTGTGGACAAATCGATAATCCATTGCGAGTGACACGGCTGTTATAATTTCTGAATTGATAGGGATTTTGTCCAATATCATAGGTATTGGCATGATCAGATTCTCTATATCTTATTGTTACACCTCCCCATTATAATTCCAAGAGGACTTGGTTTATTCTTTTTAAACAAAAAAATAAATATTTTACAATATCTAGATATATTTTACAACATAAGAGTTCCCAAGAGAAAAAATATGACCTATCTCCGTCAAATTTTGATAGTTGACTGCACGTTGAACACTAGCTGGAAACAGATTGTGCCCTGACCAATCCCAATCTCGGTCCAGATCAAGATCCGACGAATCAGTCCATCCACAATGTGAGATATTACTGTCAGGAGCCTGGCCAAGCCGCCACTCGGATCGATCCAAGAACGGGTCCATGGAATAAGACCAGCAAATATTGATTATCTGTCTGAAAGAGTCAAATCTGCGTAGTTTCTATCTAGGGTTATAATTTATATGATCGGATGCTCATCCAAACAGAAAACCCTGCTCTGATCACCCTCAATATCATCGGCATAGAAGACAACCCAAGTCGGCAATACCTTCCTTTCGGCTGTTGCTCTTGTCACTTTCATCTTAGAATATCTTCCTTAAATGCATACATCAACATAGGTAAAGCCAGTCGAAAATCTCGTCATGGAATCTCTGATCATCCTCAAAAGCTTAAAGGTCAATTATGTAATGCATTAAAAATTCAACAGGTTGAAGACTTCCCCACCTCCCTGTTCATGTCGGAATCTGTCTTGATCAGTAGACAATAGCCGGGAATAGATCTTTTCCGGGTAAAAACCAGAGTAGCCAGGTCCGTACTGATAATGCAAGCAAATTAGTCTCCTCCTCTTGGGGAAGAACAGCAGCACGACCATCCTGAGCTAGAACTTTAAACAGATGGAGCACGGGCAAGAACAGTAAGTTTTACCCATCATTGACGAATTGGGAGTTCACTGAAAGGGTTTTAGATTTTTCTACTATTTTCACGGCCGCATACATCATTGCCTTTCGAGAACTAAATGGTTTGAGAATCTGATGATGAACATGTGAAGGAAGCCTTTTGGTGTGGGAGCAGTAATGTGCTGTCAAGCATCACATGGAAGCAAACTCTATTGCTAAGTTATGACTTGAGGATCACAGTCGCTGAGAGTTCTTCTGATGAATTTATGACTTGGTCTCCAAGCAAATTCTCTCTTTGAAGTCACATCGAGACAAGAATTGGGTCTGTAGGTGAAACATCACTCAGGGATATATGCCCACAAACGGAAGCCTTTGCGAAAGCAAATTGACAAGATCAACAGAAACCAGAAAGAACATGTTACCAACCAAGATCAAGGCAAGTATAGATCACAGTTACAAGAAATGTGCGCCATGTACAGACCAAGATGAGATGAAATGAAGGCCAGGCACAAGCCAGGGCAGCAAAAATATTAACGTCCACAGCCCAGCCAGACAACATGTGAGATCTAAGCAACTAAAACAGAGGCCAGATTTTCCCCATATTCATAGAAGAGTGCTTCCTGGGCCTCAAAAAATCTATGACGAAAAATCCTTTCTTGGTGGGGATATCATGTCCATTGCCTGTTCAACATCAGCATAGAATTTTTCTTTTTTAGCCCTTTGCAGAGGATTTTTCTTCGTTTGTTGTGTATTTCTACATTTATCTTCCCTACTAACAGAGGAACTTTTCTGACCTCTAATGTCGAAGATTACCCAGGATTGGTGATTACGGAAGAATGAATCTTCCGTAATCACTGTACAAGGTCTAAGACGGAAGCTCTAGTAAAAATATGGGAAGGAACGTTGCAATATGGAGTGAAGTCAAAGAGAACCATTTGGCATGGTTTGTGCATATATATGGACGGCAGATGGCGCATTAAGAGTTATAATCCGATGGTTCTAACAAGTAAAGATCAATTGCGAAAACAATTTGATAGAGAAAGTGAAGAAAAATATGATATAGGCATCTTAGATTTTAAAGGGAGAAAAAATCGAACTTGCTGATCCTCAAAGATTAAATATTGTGAATTACCAATGACTGCGACGAATATTGGACATCATTAGTATCTGGTTGAGAGCGGAAAAGAGAAATCACATCCTTTCAATGGCTTCCTCCGCTTGATCTTGACTTTGACGTCAATCCCGCAGTCCATAATCGACTGCAGCAAAATCTGGAGCTTCCCTTCGATTTTCTCCCCCTTCCTCGGTGAGTACACCACATTGTGAATGTCATCAGACAGGGCACGTTGGGCCAGTGCTGTACCCACGGCGGCACAGGCCGCAGCATCCCTCCTCGATGTCAGATCGAACTTCATGTCCTTGGAGATGGAATGCGCCACAGACACCACCTTGCTGGTGGCCCTGTGGATGATACAGGCGCGGACTGAGCCTTTGGATATGAAGAGATCCAGGCAGAATGGCAGGTGGTAAGGGTCAGTCAGCTGACTGAAGGTCGGGATCCTCTCCCGTTTCTTCTTCCCCTCAGCTGGTATCAATGGTGAGATCCCGGTTGCTTCGCATCGAGAATCCATTAACTGCGAGGGCTTGGAAAGTTCCCTCTTCCTGGAGACTTGTTTCTCCCTAGATGGGGCCAGATCCTCGGGGAGTTTCTTCTTCTTCGACTTGCTCTTCTGCCGGCGGAAGAGGCTAATACTGCACTCCTCGATCTCCATGGATCCCATGTCCAGCTTGTAGAAAAGCTTCTTCCGCAGACGCAGCTCCTCTATCTCGTCAAAATCAAATGAATTCCCCTCACCCTCGTCACACACTCCACGGCAATCGTCATTCATCTTACACTCTTCGTTCTTCGGCTGCCATCCCCCCGTTTTCGGTGGCCTCGATGAATGAGCCAGCGCGGAGGTCACCTTCCAAGTATCGTCATCGACGAGCTCCACACCGAATCCCCCTGCGCCGCAGAGTTCGCCGTCGTAGGGCGGCAATAGGGATACTATGCCGGGCCCCCTGCGAAACTGGTCCGTGGAGAGGTGGCGCGGTAGATGGAGCCCAAAAGGAAGAGGGGCTGCGGGATGCAAGCGAGAGAGGTACCGGAGGAAAAGGGCACCACCATGCTGCCGCCGAATCAACGAGGAGACTGGGACGCCAGGGCCTGCCATTCGCTCGACACCAGCTCCCCTGTGGGGAGGGGCGGCTACTGGGAAAAGCTCGAAGCGGGGCCTAAGCCCTTATTATATAGGGGGCTCACTCTACGACCCGATGAAAATGGCTCCACCGTCCCGCCATCAAGAGTATCTCGCTCCTGTCGCCGCTGCTGCTAGTGGGGAGAGTGCCGTTCGGGGGGAGAAAGATGTGATCTTTGGATGAAAGTCTCCCCTTGATTTAGGACCTGGACTAAAGAGAGGAAAGCAAGGCGATTCTTCGCAGAAAACACTCCAGCTGAAAAATACGCAGAACTCCGGGATCAATGGATACCCTTAGTCTGGAACACTGCCCACTTCTTCCTCTACCTGTCTCTCTCTTTCTGTTGCCCTGTCAGTTGACCTAGATCTGTGCAAGCATCTGGGTTCCTCAAGGCTGCCTTGCTTAACTTTTCAAAGATATTCAAGGGTTTAATAGAATATCATTTATTCGATTCCTCTGTTTATCGTTCTTCAGGTTAGCATCTGCTTTCGGCATTGACTTTCCGATAAAAGATACCATTTTTTCTGTTGGAAATTGAAACCCACCAAAAAAATGTTTCCCCCAGAAAATCATTTAACACAGAAATTCAGAATGTTCTGTGCGATTTTCCCGATTTCGCAGCATTGCAGCAGTTCAGAATCTTCTAAAGGCTCCTTGCTGGATCCTATGAAGAGGTTGGGATGAAACAAAGGTGGCCGAATCCTAAGATCAGACGGACAAAGTAGCAATCTTTTTTATCGTCGACGCATGCGGTGAGCTTATTCTGTATGGTGGATGATCCTAAAATAGAAATCTCTCTGTCGCGACGCAGCTGAAAGATTGAATCTTGGGACGTCAAATGGGTCCACGGGGTTTTCTCCTCGATGGAGATCTCGAGGTCGGGCACGCGCGGGTCGGGGTGCTGATAAGAATGGTTCTGGTTTGGTTGACGTTTTGAAGATCAGTGGAGCTCATCCGTGCCCTTGAGCACTCCCATGGAGGGTGAGGTGGCACGGTGAGAGGGACGTAAGAGTAAATACAGAATCGTGGAAGTTTTCCAAGATGATGTTTGATATATGAAGGATTTTCTGGGAGTTGATAACCCTAGATGTCTGGTTGTAATCGCCGACGTCATGCTCTTCTCCTTCCTCTTAGTCTTCCTCCTTCCGCTACGGCCATCCATCACCGGAGACCGACTTGGAGGTGAGTGGAGGGAGGCCGGAAAAGGCAACCCTCGAGAATCGAGCGGGCTCTCTCCTTCCCCTGCAACTGGCTGACCCCTTTTGGCGAAATCTCCGTAACGATCTTGCCGATTCATAGTGTTCGTCTCCTTCTCCTTCTCCGTTCTCCGTCGTATCTCTCGTCGATTCGCCACCTCTTCTTCTTCCTCGTCTCTTGACGTTTCGATCTGTCTTTTTTTTTTCTTTTTTTCTAGTTTTTCTCGTGATGAAAGATGCTCTCCTCGATCGTTTCTCGGGGCTTCTTTCATGAGAAAAAATTGCAATCATCTTGCTGCTCCACTGTTAAGGTCATGCTCCTCGTCTCTGCAGAAAAAAAGCACCCAATCCGGAAGAATGGGCGAATCAACTGAACTGGCCATCGCGAAGGATATCACCCAAGTAAGCAACCCTCTCCAGCTCTTCTTCGTCTCTTCCTTGTTTGTTTTCTCCTTGGCCGGGCATCGCTGATCTCGTTCCACTCCGTTCAAATCGACGCAGTTGATTGGAAACACTCCGCTCGTATACCTCAACAATGTTGTGGACGGTTGTGTCGCGAAGATCGCGGCCAAGCTGGAGATGATGGAGCCCTGTTCCAGCGTTAAGGATCGGTAGTTCTTCTCGTCGGCTCTTTCATTCCCCCTTCTGGGCATTTTGGGTGGATTCTCATGAACTTTGATACTTGTTGGCAGGATTGGGTACAGCATGATCGCTGACGCCGAGGAGAAAGGGCTCATCTCACCCGGGAAGGCGAGTCAACTCGTTTCAACCTGAGTTGTTTTTCTTGATTTTCTTTAGTATGCGGTAAGCTGAGCTGTGCTTGGTCTTCGTATGCTTCTTCTTCTTTTTCGTCCTTTCTCTCTTTCAGAGCGTCCTCATCGAGCCTACCAGTGGCAACACTGGCATTGGTCTGGCCTTCATGGCTGCCGCAAAGGGCTACAAGCTCGTGCTCACCATGCCGGCATCCATGAGCCTTGAGAGAAGAATCATTTTGAAGGCTTTTGGGGCTGAATTGGTGTTGACCGATCCAGCTTCGGGGATGAAAGGTGCCGTGCAGAAAGCCGAGCAGTTGGCTGCCAGGACGCCAAACTCTTATATCCTGCAGCAGTTTGAAAACCCGTCTAACCCGAAGGTGCTGGCTTCTCCTCCTGGCCGTCTCTCTTTGCCTGCTACACCTGACCTTTCTTCCTTCATTAGATTCACTATGAGACGACGGGGCCTGAGATCTGGAACAGCTCTGCTGGAACAGTTGATGCTCTTGTTTCTGGCATCGGAACCGGAGGTACAATCACAGGGACAGGAAGATATCTCAAGGAGCAGAACCCGCAAGTCAAGGTTCGTTGACTTTTTGTACTGTTTCCTAATCTGTCGGTTCCCCTTCTGTGCTCCTTGTCCCCTGCCCTGACCAGCACACTCCTGTCATCTGTAAAGTTGTATGGCGTGGAACCAACAGAGAGCGCTGTTCTCTCAGGGGGCAACCCAGGTATGTTTCTCAGTGGCGGCTGTGTCGGATGAAGAAAACAGGAAGTGGCGTGGAATATTCAGCTCCTAGCACGTGAAGGTGAGTATTTGTATTAATCTGCGCCTGTCACATTCAGGTCCTCACAAGATCCAGGGAATTGGCGCCGGTTTCGTGCCTGGTGTTTTGGACATTGATCTCGTCGATGAAGTTATCCAGGTGGGCATCAGAGAAACCAGCCTAGTGTTCTTTGGTTGACTTCGGGTTTCGATCTTGTCTCCTGACATCTGGGTCTTTCTCGCATAGTCAAGATTGCATGGGACACCTTAGTTGACTTGGCCTGAACGAGTGGCATGGTATTTGGTAATGGGATCCCATTGTCTGCATTCTTTCAGGCCTTAACCTCTTCTCTCTCGTCTACCAGGTCTCAAGCGATGAGGCTATTGAAACCGCGAAGCAGCTTGCGCTGAAGGAAGGCTTGCTGGTGAGCCGTCCAACTCCCCCAAGAGCCTTCTTCTTACTTGATTAAAACAGGAGAAGAGACGGCACCTGTGGTCAGCATCGTCTGAAACTGATTACCCACCTGCTTGCAGGTCGGGATATCATCTGGAGCGGCTGCCGCGGCTGCCATCAAGATCGCGCGCAGACCCGAGAATGAAGGGAAGCTCATAGTTGTGAGTCCAGCAATCTCATATCTTTTTCATCTCCACACCCCGTCTGAATGGCCTACCAAGATCGAAGCTTTCCGCCATATCCTTCAAGAACCTTACTTCTATCACTTCAAAGCTGTTCAACGCGCTGTGGTGTTGCCTGCAGGTCGTCTTCCCGAGTTTCGGGGAGCGGTACCTCTCCTCGGTTCTTTTCCAGTCCCTGAAGAAGGAAGCGGAGAGCATGGTCTTCGAGCCTTGAGGGCTGGCTTCCCTTCCCCCCCTTCCTGCGTTCTCTCTGTATTTCGGCATCGGATAAGATTGTGCTCTCGCACCTGAGAGCTCTGTATCACCCCCGCCCTGAGAGCTCGTGCTCTCTCCCTGTGAACTGGCTTCACCCCAAGTTGAAGTCTCTCAGTTTGCCGTATCTCGAGATATTTCACTCCAGCTTTTCAATATACAGAGAACGAGAGAAAGAGAGAGAGAGAGAGAGAGAGAGAGAGAGAGATGAATTTTGATGAATACACACTGAATAATCCTGAATCCGCGACAAATAGATAGGTCACACGCCATCGAGGTCTTAGTTAAACTCGCGGCTAGAAGTTAGCTGGGGTGGTACGTCTCCGCGTGGGCCTGAAGAGGCTCGAGGGAGTCAACGATGTCCCTCATCAGAGGCCTCGCCTTGGGGTTGCGGCCGAGGCAGTGGAAGGCCAGCAGGGCGGCCTTATGGGCCCCCTTGATCGGGAAATCCCCCTCCAAACTGGGGTCCATGATGGTCTGGAGCTTCTTCTTGTCGCTGAGCATAGGGAGCGCCCAGTCGACAAGGTTTTGCTCCCTTGGCGGCCGCAACTTGTCTAGCGACCTCCTCCCCGTGAGCAGCTCCAGCAGAACGACCCCAAAGGTGTACACGTCGCTGCTCGCCGTCAGGTGCCCTGCGCACACCACGGAAGAAACCCTTCGGATGAATCCACCCACATCCGGTTGTCGGCAGAAGTCCTCCGCTAGAATAGAAAATCCCCTTTTTCTCCGCGATTCAGGCGGCGCAACCCAACGCATCATCCACCGCCACGGGCTGAACGTCGGAGAAGAGGACAACGTATCGGAGCTCCAACAGCATGGCTTCTGATATTCCCATCTCAGGGATATCAGAGCCCATCAGTCGGCGTAACCCAGCAACTACACACACAGTTCCTTACCGTCTACCGGTATCAAATGATCGACGGCGCCAAGGCAAGCCGTGGAAAACCAGGAGAACGTTCACAGCAGTTAGCCTTCAAAGAGCTCATATCCTCTACCACTCTCTCGCCGGAGAACAAGCACGAGCTCTTAAATCATGAGATCGCCGCATAGGACATAGCAGAAAACAGTGGCAATGACCCAGAAAAGAAACATAGCTCAAAGTCAACTCTCAAATGGCCGAGATTTTACCTGTCATCACGTACTCCGGAGCTGCATACCCCGGAGTTCCCATAATCCGAGTTGAGACGTGGGATTCATCGCCAACCGGCCCATCTTTTGCCAGTCCGAAGTCCGAAAGCTTTGCATTGTAGTCCTGACGACCCATCAAATATCGAGGATAAATGACCGGCGATTCAGAGCGTGATAATATAGTTGCTGTGAAGAATATGGTGATAATCCGAATACAGTGGATGGGCCATTCTGGTTCTCTGCTGTTCATGTTCATGTTCATGTTCCTGTTGGAAGGCTGATCATCTTCTGAATAATTAGAGGACAGGGACGGATGCAGCAATGTTTTCTATCTTTAAATGTATTCATCGCATCAAAGCAAACCCGAAAGCTGAAATCGAGGGAAAAAAAAGAAATCATTCTCATCCATAGCATATAAGAATCATATTATTATCAGTTCATGTCCTGTAAAATGAGCTCTGCCCGTTAAAAAAAAGCCCTAAGTTGAATGAATGGATGAAGATTCAGGAGAACATTGAGCAGAATCCACCGCCGGCTAACCTCGTCGAGGAGAATGTTTGAGGTCTTAAAATCCCGAAAGATGACCGGCTGTTCGGCCTCGTGGAGGAACGCGAGCCCCTTGGCAGCTCCGAAGGCGACTTTCATTCTGATGGACCAAGGGAGGGGCAGCAATTCTACCAGGAACAGGGTGGGCAGTTGGGTCAGTTCGTCAGAATCGGCGGCAATCAACCCTCCGTCAAGCAGAATTGATCGTCTGGGGGGGTGAGAAATGGGAGGAATTACTTGAAAAGAGGTTAATTTCTGCGCTGCCCCGGGTCATGAACTCGTAAACAAGCACACGGTGGTCGTCCTCGCAGCAATACCCGACCAGCTTGACCAGATTTGGATGCGAGAGCTGGCCCAGGTAGATGACCTCCGCCTGCAACCATCACAGAATCGAGAATAAAAGAGAGGGAAACCTAGCCCGGGGAAGAAACATCAAGAAAACTGGTGGGAATTCATGGTACCAGCCATTCCCGGTGGCCCTGAAAGCTCCTCTCGCCGTCGTGGACCTTGACGGCAACATCAATGGGCGAGATCCCCTGCCTTAGATCTTTAGGGACGAACCCCTTGTAGACCCTTCCGAACCCTCCTCCGCCTAAGACATGGTCTTTCCTGAAATTGCCCGTTATGGTCTTCAGCTCGAGGAACGTGAATGCGATCAGCGGGTTGCTCCCCTGCTCTCGCCGCAGATCCTCCACCTCTTTAGGATTCGACGGCATTCTCTGGCTGGCCTGCGTCTCATATTTCACCGGATCCTCTAACGCGGGAGATTCTGATCGTACAAGAAAAACAGAGGCCGCTGAGAGTAAGCATCTAGCGCCGAATCGGGTGGTTTCTATCCGCTTCATCGAGAATTAAACCGACGGGATTGAAACCTTCATCGCAAGAACTCCCCGCGAATAAGATCTCAGAACTTTCAGAGGCGAAGACGATGCGTAACAACGGGGAGGAGGAAACAAGAACCCAGGAAGGAAAACCACCTGACTTCGTGTGGGAGGAAATTCCGTAAACGGATGGGCTCCAACTGGTCCAGCAGTTTCCCATCAACCTCGCAGCCGCAGACTCCCGCCTCACCAGCAGGCCATCCCAGGCTTGGAGAAAATTGATGGAGAAGCGGAGAAGGAAACAGGAACGGACAAAGAACAGACAACTGTTTCACCGATGCACTTTCTAGTCTGGACCCCGTTTGTTTCTGATGGAGAACGGGAAGTAGGTGAGGAGGGAGATGGGAGAGGAGGAGCGTCGAATTGTGGATGGAAAGGCTCTCCCTCTCCTTCTGTGGACACTTTTAGTATCTACTGAATCTGAAATCCTCTGGGTAGAGCTGGGAAGCGGGAAGGAGAAGATGGCCAAAAGATCTGAGAGCCTATCCACACTCTCGCAGAAGTTCCTCCGCCGCCTAGTTAGAAATCTTGGTTCCCCATTTTCGAAAGAGACAAGCGTGCAAAGCCAAGAACCCAAACGTCATCTCGGACAGTCGTCGTCTTACTCACCAAAGCCGCGTTGAAGAAAGAACCACAGCTCGAGCTTACTCAGGATTACCAAACGACGGAGGGAGCACTGAGGACAATTGGAATAGTGCTATCCACCAACGGGCGATTGGGTGGCGGGCCCCCAAAAGGAATCATGGCGGGTCCGGCATCTAGAATTCGCAGTCACCATGGTTGGTTCCTGCGTCACTTCTGCGTTCTCTCTGTGCTCGACAACTTTCTCTCTTTAATAGCAGCACTCATCTCCTCTGGCATGGAGGAGGCCATCCTCCCGCCGTCCCGCTCAATTTGACTAGTAGGATTGCGTCGCGTCATCTCTCTCCCCCTCCCCCTCTCTCTCATCTCTCTCTCTCTCTCTCTCTCTCTCTCTCTCTCTCACCCCCCCCCCCGGGCTACTAACCCTTTGTGAAAGGCATTTGAGACAGACTTGGACTTCCAACGTACCAAATTTGGCCGGAGGAGTTAAAGAAACTTCTCATTCCAAGGGGAGTTGCAGGTTGGCCGGCCACCTGCTTAATTTCTTATTCGAAGGTTATGATGTTTGGTCACGATCAACTTAACAAGAATGATAAATGAAATCAATTACACCACCTATTACGTCAATTTGTTCTCATTATTTCAGTAAATAGTACAATACACAATGAGCAATATTTCGTTGACACTAAGACCTTGGACCCATTTAATGCATTTACTTATTCAACCAGATTGCAAAGCAAGCACATGGGGGGTCGAGAGAGAAAATTATATTTATTGGTTAAACATATAGTTTTGACATCTTTAATGTTCAATTGAAAGGAGGTAATTCGAATTATGTTGATCATATATGGGTAAAAAATGTAAATAAGTTACATAATTACGGAAAATATAAATCAGTACAAGTCATAGATATTTGTGTGCAGTAATTGTTCAAACAACCATAAATCAAAATTTGAAGGACTATTTAATAGTTGCGTATTTCAAAGTATTTAAATTAAATGCAATATATTTTTTAATTTAAGAAAAGAAAATCAACTAATTCCTCAAGAATTGAAAGTATTCTTCCCACAAGCTGCTTTAGCATCTCTAGGCAAACCAAAATTATTGGGAGATTATGGTTGGTCAAGATCAACTTATCAACAATAATTAATAAAACCAATGACACCCCTTATCAACTCAACATGTTTCTCATTGCTTTAATAAATAATAAAATACACAATACTTAATACTTTGTTGGCACTAGGGCCTTGGGACTATTTAATGTATTTACTTAGTCAACTTAGTTGCATAATAGGCACAGGGATATATATATATATATATATATATATATATCAGAGGGAGAGAGAGATTTATTTGTTTTTGAATTATATGATATTTTCATCTTAAATTCAATTGAAATGAGGTAATTAGAATATGTAGATATATATGGAAAAAAAATGAAGGAAGTCACAAAATTAAGGAAAAAATAAATCAGTAAAACACATAGATAACTCATTGTGTGCATTAGTTGTTCAAGAAAGCATAAGCCATAGTTTTTCTAAATTTCAAAGACTATTTAATATTGTATACTTCAGATTTAATTAATTAATGGAATCTACCTTTAAAGAAAAAAATAGAAAAGTTTTCTCCCCACAAGCCACTTTAGCATCTCTAGGAAAATAAAAGTGTTGACTTCTTTGTTTCTAGCTCAAGCATCAGATGGATGAGTTGATTGTTTCATGTAGATCAAGCATGAGATGGAAGTGTCTGTTTCTTCCCTGCCCATTTTCTCTTTTGGGATCACCTTCAGAAAAAATGAAACTAACATTTTTGACAAATTTGGTGTGATATAGATGCTCACAAAGTTTATTGAGCTATGGTGATTAAAATGGATGACCCATGGTTCATCTTTTTATATTGCAAATGTGGTGCAATATAACGAATAGACCTGTTAAACCCAAATTGTACATGTTCATAAACTATGCTGATTTGGATCCACATAGTGAAATAGATAGATCTATCTACTTGATGGTTAAGCTATCCAAAACCTTTTTAACCTATAGCCAAAATGTTGATCTAATAAACCAAAAAAATGAATCAATTAGGACATATTTAAGGCCCAAAACCATGTTCATTAGATCATAGATTCAAGCACAAAAATTAGATCCAATGATCTTAGATTTAGGTCCACTATGCCTTATATTCAAACTCAATAATCAGATCTATTAATGACATATCTTTAAACCTTTAATAACTCAAGATAAAATGCACGAATAATCAAGGCTACTATTTGATAGATAATATTCAAACCTAGAAGCTTGAATTGTTGCATCTTCTTAAGCTCACCTAGAAATATTTAGGATCTTCATGCTATCACGTTATGCAATTCTAAAATGAAGCAAATAACTAAAATACTCAATTATTGTGATCATCATCAAAACATCTAAGACATCCAACCATCAGCCATGTGTCACATGAGTTGTCCTTGTCAAAAGTTTCACTTCCACATCTTACTTGTGCTGTCATATTCCCTCACTACTCATTGAATGAGTTTTCTTTATCACTGTTTCATCATTTTCACTAGATTAACATCCACTTTTTTGGGTCAATTGGTTGGTCAAAACACTATCCCACTTTTTGGTCAATACATAAGTTGGCTCACTTTCTCTCACCTCTACTTTTTCTTGTAAAATATTTCCTTTTTAATTTTGTTTACTTGGCTTTGTTGTCATACGATAATTAACATCTGATTTCTTCATTTGAAGCTTGAAAAAATATATTTAAATTTAAAAAATAGATATAAATATTAGATCTTAATTTGGATAGTAGTGTATTTCATCACACTTCATGGAAATTTTTCATGCTTAGATTATGTAATTAGTTCTCTCACATCAAAATTGTTAAACCCAGCACAATGGCATGATCTAGTAAGCTAAAAATTTATTAGAAGTAGTCACACCATACATTATCAAATTTTAAATCTCATTAAGGTTTAAATTAGAATCGAGTAGAACAATCATAAAATTTAATCTCTCTTAAAAAAGTTTATTAATCTTTTCTCAATATATACATCTTGATATAAAATGTCCTAACAAATTGAGATTGCATTGGTTTAAAAACAAAGTAAATGGGTAGGTCATTCATCTTTAAAAACATGAAAATATTTTTGAAGTAACATAAAATAATCTCTTAGAACTCTGCATTTTGTTCGGTACCCATCCATCTCTCATTTGTTGCAAGGGTTTTGAACGTAATAAGTCGTTGGTGGAATCAGAAAGGCCAAAAACTTGAGACATTGATTACCTAAAAATGTAAAAACATGGGCTACAAAATTTTGAAGGCTCAAAACTATTGTGATTGCAATAATTAGGCAGTCGAGATGAGGATCTCGTGTTTTACATGGAAAATTCATATGGTATTTCCGAATTCCACTTTTTATTCATTTTACTCTTGATTTTTAGCTTGATCTATTTTTAAGTATAATTGTAATATATTTGGACAAAGTCAAAGGCCTAAACAATATATCACTTTGATCTTCATAGATTCAAAGATCATGAAAAATATATCCTTACGAATTAAAGGATTGAGGAATTTCATACCTTTTGGATTCAATGACCAATTTTGCATTTTTTCGTTGACTTTTGATCCATCATAATCTACCATGTTTGTAAGTATTCCTAGACACCAAGCTCGACACCTACAGCCCACAAAAGCCCGGAGACTGGTCCCTCACGATGGTGGCTGGCTTCTGAAAAAAGGACGGCTCAGGTCGGGCTACAAGCCCAATAAGGAAAGATGACGACGAGGACGGCGGGGTCATTTCAAATCGGAAATTCAAAGCGCGGAAAAACAGGAGGGAAGAAGACGACAGCTGTGTGAGCTCCCGTCGATCAGACCCACTTCAAACCCTAGGAGTCCCACCCCTCCCCCTTCAACCCGCTGGTGCCATTTCTTCTCTGTGATCCTCACATCCGCCCTTTGGACCTCCGTCCCTCTCCACGTCTTTCTTCTAGCCGTGCATCCCTCCCCGTCCGTACAAGAGGAGATGAGGGAGGAGATGGGCAGGTACCGGAGCCCGTCGAGGTCTTCCAACCAGGTCAGGCCTCACTCCCCCTCCTGCTTCCCATCGTCCACTGTTCTCTTCTAGGTTGGCAGTCGACGCGGAGTGTATGATGATGTATTCGATTTAATGGAGAAATAATCAATCCTGTCTGGTTTCTTCTTTCTTCAGAGCACGCAGATGAGCAGGACTCTTTGCCCCCCGCACGCCCGAGGAAGGAATCTCAGCCCGGCTCTGCTCCAGGAGCTGGAGAAGCTAGAGAAGGACGCCGACAGCCGTAAATCCGCACTCAAGGCACTGAAGTCGTACGTCAAGGATCTGGACACCAAGGCGATTCCTCTCTTCCTGGCCCAAGTCTCTGAAACCAAGGAACAGCCGGGGGCATCCTTCGGCGAGCACACCATCTCCCTCTACGAGGTCCTCGCCCGCGTCCACGGCCCCAACATCGTCCCTCAGATCGAGAGCATCATGGCCAGCATCGTCAAAACCCTCCATTCCAGCGCTGGTTCCTTCCCTCTGCACCAGGCCTGCTCCAAAGTGGCCCCGGCCATCGCTCGCTACGCCATCGACCCTTCTTCGACCGCCGGCGAGGCGAAGGCGAGGATAATCCGATCCCTTTGCAAGCCTCTCTCGGACGTCCTGATGGGCCCCGCCGAGTGCGTCGCTTCAGGCGCAGCCCTCTGCCTGAAGGTCCTCGTGGAGTCCGACAACTGGCGGTTCGCCTCCGACGAGATGGTTAACGAGGTGTGCCTCAAGGTTTCCGGGGCTATGGAGGAGGCTGCGACCCAGACGAATGCCCACATGGGTCTGGTGATGGCTCTGTCGAAGCACAGCATCTTCGTCCTGGAGGCCTACGCCAGATCCCTTCTAAGGTCAGGGTTGAGGATTCTGACCACGGGCACTGCGGAGGTCAACTCCCAGAGGCGATTCTCGGCCATTCAGATGATCAACTTCTTGATGAAGTGCGTTGACTCGAGGAGCATCGCCTCGGAGCTCGACTCCGTGGTGGAGGTCATGGAGCAGTGCAACAACGACGACCGCCTGCTGTTCATCAGAGGCGCAGCCTTTGAGGCGTTGCAGACGGCCAAGCTTGTTGCAGCTCAGGAGAGCTCGAGGTACGAGAAGGGCTGGACGCTGCCGCCTGCCATGGAAGTATCAGAGACTCCACTCTCCGGCGGGGGCTCTGGATATGCTTCGCCTGAGTCGAGGACGATTGATTCTTTTCTGGCCAGCGAGGGCTTCCCGTGGTCTCCTCTATCATCAGTAGGGCAGTCCAGCTGTGACCTTGGGCACCCTCGGAGGTCCAGTAGGAAGCTTTGGATTAACAACAATGGCGGTGTTGATGTGTCACTGAAGGATGGGTTATTCTCTGAATCTATGTCTGCAATCGACAGCCCGAGGCAACGACCCAGAGAAGGCACCGGCGAACAATCCGTGGGATTCTGTGGTTTTTCTCAGGCAAATAACACCAGTGTTGATGTGAAACGACAGGATGTGATGGCTCCCCAGGTGAGTCTGATTTAGGAATTAAAAGCTGCCTTGTGTTGCTAGAATTCCTCTGGCGTCTGACTGGTTTGATCATGCGGTCCACTTACCCATCTGTTCATCGCAATCAGACGCCACAAAAAGTTCATCTCTTTCGCTTGAATCATGATCTGCACTCAAGAATCTGAAGTCTCCATCTTTTTCTCTCTTTTATTTTTTGTCTAGCGACCCAGATCGCCAATGTCCATAAACAGCATGAAGCTGTATGCAACCCCGAGGAAGCTCATCAGATCGCTCCAGGATCCTGGTGAGGAAGACCTTGAATGCCCTCAGAAGCAGCCAGGCAGTGCCCCCAACAGCCTGAGCTCGGATGAAATCGAGTGGAACCCCACCGAGGCTCAAGCCGGTGGGGGTGGCCATTCTAATGATACCAATAGCCCTCAGTCTGGTGAGTATGACAACGCCGATGATGAGGATATGCTGGAGCGTTCTGAGTCGGTATCATCTTGTGGGGAGACACCCGAGGGCACAACTGCTGGCAATGCCTCCGAAGAAGCAATCTGTGAAGAGAATAATGGAGTTCAAAGTGTGCGCACAAGAGGGAGAGCATTCTGCAGGCTTACAGTCACTTTAGTCTTCACTCTCCTCTGGATCATGGCCGCATTGGTCTTGCTGGTCGCCCAGATTAACCAGGATGAGGGCCGCCTTGGTGTGGTTCCAACTTGATTGAAGGGAGTGCTTGTTGTCTCTATGTTACTGTTTTTTTTTTTTTCTTTCTTGTTTTGTCTAGCAGAGATTTGGTTGCTGTTGTTTCCCTGGAGTCACTTGGGATGGGAGAAGCCTGTAAGTTTGTGAATTTTTGTATGGCCTGGCCTTTTTATCATCTGATAAGTGTTTGGCAAGGCGTCTAATTAATCACATTACAATGTCTTCATGATGCCCACTACCAGTCAAGTTAGTTTATTCGTTGGAAAAGCTAGGATCTCTTAAATGGCACTAATGATGCTTCAGTGCCCCTTAGATAGGCTGGGGCTGATTTCATGAAAAATAATGAATGCATCATTTTTGTAAAATTATGCTAGCTACCGTAAAGTTCTAGAGAGATATACTACATCGCATCTCTGAGCTTTATATAAGTTCTATCAATGAACAAGACAAATAAGAAACATTGTGAACATCTTATCCCAGGTATCATGGAACCATGCACGAATCATGGTTATTTCATGTGAAAAAAAAATAATTTATGAAATGTATTAACACAAATTTAAAATGGTCATGAATAATATTTTTTTTACTTTCAGCTTGTTGGTGTGAATTGACCGTAAACTAATCATAATTGTTTTTGAATCTTCAATAAGCTGGGTTTCATCGAGGCTTTGAGTGCCTGTCACCTAAGCAAGCAACAAGCGTGCAGTAGCCCACTCCTTCCTGCCGGTCATTACAAGAATAATCTCAAGGTCAGAACTTCTTGAGCTTCCTTTTCTTCAGCGGGACATTATTTATCATACTCGTACAGCATTGGAGAACAGATTGAGATCATCAAAACATCAATAGAATTTACACTTTCATAGGACATTCGGCATATGATCAATCATGAATAATGACATAAAAATTGCCATGATTGCTCTCATGTGTTGGGGTTGTGCAGGTACTGACCACCTCTCCAGACGCCTTCAGGGCTCACGATTACTGGCTTCAAGATGGCAGATGACCCTGTGCTGATGTACGAATACTTCCCATAGGATTCATGATCTGAACCTGGGCTGAAGAGATAGAGCTCATCAAACCCTCTTCTCTCAACCACAACTGAGTTCCTTCTGCCCTGTTGCATGACAAGGTGCGCACTCATTACAAGGAAGAAAGACGGTTTAAATGGATGGTTAGGATAGGGAAAGCATGTTAAATATCCGGTAAGATGAGGATCGAAGTTCATGTTCATGCAGGTGGGTTATCTTAGAGTGGATGAGAAGAAAGATCCAGAGGCAAGAATCCAGCACAGTTCATCTCAGTTTCCAGGGTTTGATTTTTAAATGATTATGTGAAAAAAAACACTGCGAAAGCAACAAGTAAACCCTTGTGTTCCAGGGGAATCATTTTTTTATGACTATAGATTTGGATGCTCAAGTGGAATTTGGAGCATTCCAAAAACTTGGAGATCCAACCACAAAGAGACAGGCAGTCTAATACAAAATTGCTCTGGTATTTTTCGCCTACATTTGCATTGAGAATAACTTATCAAGAAACAACTGGGTAGGTCCTGTGTTTCTCTTGGTTCTCTCTCATGATTGAATACATGCATGGATCTCTTGCCGGACAGTTTATCACAAAATTCCTAGAATATGTTTTCTCTATAGTTATGGAAACTTTTTCTGGTTTTTTCAGTGATCTGTATTCTTCCTCGTATTGATTGTGGGATGTTTCAATTCAGTTTCTGAGATATGATTCTATTTGACAAGTACCAAAGTCTGCTGTGATATAACTGGGCAGGGCTCGTGCTTAGCTCGGTTATTTCTAATTGATGGGGGTCCACTTCTGTTCATCAATCGGCATAAGAATCAGAACAGACGAGACGGCTATGGTGAATCAACCATTACCCTGTCAATGATGGTGAAGACCCTGGGAGCACTGGTGTATATCCTGCTCATCTTTTCCGTGAGCTGGGTGTAATTGTCATCCTCTTCTCCCGAGCTCTCCTCTGGTTCTTCCTCTCCACTGGTACCCAGTGCCTCAGTGTTCTGCCCCACAGTGGAGAAGAACCCTAGAAGCGCCTTGCTGCCCCAAGATTTCCCACCATCTGAGGGTCTCCTCAGGCTGAAGCCCGGGGGAACGATACTGAAGTTTGAGCCCAATGGCGGCCGGCTGCGGTAGTTGGAGCCTTCCAGACCAACCGCGTAGGTAGCATCCGGCGTGCTCACTTTGAGGTGGCTGACTATGGAACCCACTAGCCGGAGAGGAGAGCCGCTCCGGTTTGTGATTGCGAGATCCGAGGCCAGAAGATCTTGCTGGAAGGTCACCAGGTGCTTCACCTCCGCTCTGCCGTCTGGATCGCAGGACACAAGTTCCACCTGAAGATTATCGGAAAGGAAGAGGGGATAATTAGGGAGGATGAAGAAGAGAGAGAACTGGAGTATTGGAAGAACAGATGATCTACCTGGATGGAAGACTGAGGGCTTCCCCTGACGTCGCGGAGATCCCAGGCCCGCGGAGACCACCGAGGGACTTCGCCATCGCTCCCGCAGGTGAAATCAATGGAGACTCCGCCCTGGATGGCGACACCGCCGCCGTCCCCCTCCGACACGGAGGTGTGGAGCACCTCGACGGAGCTCCCGTGCCACATCTGCGGTCTGTAGGATGTGATCAGGCCGCCGGGGAGAACCAGGCTGGCGGCGCCGCCGCCCTCGAGCCGCATCGCGACCACACAGCTGTCCCCGATGCCCCGGAAGGTGGCGCCATGGCCGCCGAACTCCCGTTCCAGGTAGTCCGCATTAATGGGCGGCGAGCGGGGGCTCGGGGCTACCGCCTGAGCGCATACCTTCTTCCTCCGGTGTCTGAAATGGCTGCTGAATCCGCCGCAGAATCGGAGAGATCGGGGGCAGATGGCGCTCGAACCCGTCCGTGGCGCCATGTAGATGGGAGGGATGGGAGAAGCGTTGGCCATGGCTGGCCTGCTCCGGTCTTCCGCTGAGATGGAGGGAAGCACCACGAATCCCGCTTTATATCTCTCTCTGGTCTTATCGTGTTTTGGCGGGTCCCATCTTTCGAATATTCGTCTTTGTGGGGCCCACGCCTCCTCTCTCTCTCTCTCTCCCCCTAGACTCTCCAACTCACTGTTTATAGTTTTCCCGTCAAAGCTCGCCTTTATCCGGCGGTTGGGCTTTGACAGTTGACTTAAGTATAACAAGCCAACGTTCTCTCTCTCTCTCTCTCTAACAAGAACATGAGGCAATACAGTACAAAAAAACCAGCGATGGATAAGAAGCGCCATCACAACAATCGAGCGAATGACTGTTTGCGACGGATCAAAACCCCTCAAACTGCGTTTACCACTGCCACAGCAGGAATCCGAGACTTGTGAGAAGAGAAAGAGCGAGAGAGAGGGAGCGAGAGAGAGAGAGAGAGAGAGAGAGGAGAGAGAAAGCGGAATGTCCCTCCCCCTCTGGGGAGAGCAAAAAGCCCACATACCAGCGGGTTGCGGGTTGATCTCTCTTCGGTCAGTCCTCGTCCATTCCGGCAGGCTGGTCTCTCTTCGGCCCACCCGCTGGCTTCGCCATTATGATCTGCCCAGTAATGACCACAGATATAACGAACCAGGGCTGCTGGGCTAAACTGAATGGTTGGGATGGGGTAGAGAGAGAGAGAGAGAGAGAGAGAGAGAGAGAGAGCATGTGGCGGAGAAGCTCACCTGGTCAACTCGGAGGACGGTGCACGCCGCATCAGCTGCATACTTGAGGGCGAAGAACCTGCATTGGAACGACTCATGTACATAATCACTGATAAATACGAACCTAAGAGCCGGAATCTATTTATCAAGAAGCTTCAAACCCAACCCTGATCCAGTGTTCATCCGGGCTCCATTCTCTAAGCAATGGCGGGTGGTGGGTGGTGGGGAGGATCATCAGATAATGCCAGAACAAAATAAAGAAAGGGATCTTACTTCGTAACATGAAGGTCCCAAACTTTCATGGCTGACGCATCTTTGCAGGCTCCCTCGTCAAGGTCAATACCCACGCTGGTGTTGCCAGATGCGTGCTCCGCGTACAAGGAAGATATGACCTCAACTGAATTGAGCCCCGCATTCTCTGCCAGGGTTTTTGGTACCAGCTCAAAGCTTTCTGCAAATTTCGCGATAGCATACTGATCCAGCCTAAAAAAAAAAAAAATTTCGATTGCTGTCAATCACAGTAATCCCGAAGATTGATCCATCTACTTTTACAGCTATCCATTGCAATATAATACATTTCAAACAAGATAATTATATTTTCTTAATAAATTAAAATATCATATTACACGTGACAATAATCGTTGAACTGTATGCAAATCTCAATCCCTACCTTGCAACTTTATTGTCACCTTCTAGCTAAAGTTTTATTTTTAAAAAATAAAAAATAAAAATAAAATCGTGCCCGACTCTACATTAATCTGTGTGAGCTAGGTGCGACAGTCCACCACATTCCACAGGATCCAGGGGAGAGAGAGAATTCATTAACAATAACTAGACTCTGAAACAGCAGAAAATGGCCAAGTATAAAAAGGATAGCCAGTTAGCATAGCCTAAAGGAATAGTTTTCCTACCTAGCAATAGCATTACAAAAATAGATCTATCACAACTGGTTTCCAGTGGATGATGTACATCAGCTATACTAAAGTGGGAAGCATATAACAAAGTTGGGAAAATATCAAAAAAAAATAGAGGCCAAAGGTTACCCTGTTTCTTTCTGAGAGAACTCCTTCAATCTTCTCGCTAATTCTATTTCAGTTGCACCAGCCCCAGGAACTATACGGCTATCTCTACACATAGCCTGATAAAAGGAATATATTAGATATAATAATCTGTTCCAATGAAAGACAAATTAGACGTAAGCATGCAATAAATTCGACACCTATTGTGTAAGTAGGCATGTAAGGACACTCTTGAACGTCTATGGAATAGGAAGAACCATATTGAAGATGAACTCGTTTACTACAGAGCCAAACCTTGTACACATTAACACCATCGTCAACAGCTCTTTCAAGGTCATCTAGTATACTGTCAGTGCTCGCCCGCAAAACAATTGTAGACACTGAGTTTCCACCCTCCTCGTTCTTCACAATCGTCACCTATGAAACGTTAAAACCAAAAATATAAGCACAGAATACAAGAAACTGCCAGGGAATAAGGGAGATGCAACTTTTTAGGGCAGGGGGAATCCTTCAGGAGAATGAATGGCGAGGATGTACCCGAGTGCCACCGATTTCCTCCACTGAAACAGAGTCCGCGTATCCTAACTCATCGGGATTCGGCTGGCTAAGTTTCAGCTGTTGTCGTCATTACACAACGTGATTCAGAGGAAGCAGAAGAATTACATGCAAAATAAAAGTACAAAAGCCGATGAAGAAGAAGAATTACAAGAGCAATAGCACCAGTTGTTCGGCAAAATCTTCGCAGCTCAAATTTTGAACTGATTTTTAAGACCATGATCCTGTGGGAAAGAACAGGCACCCATGTAATTTTCAAAACATCAGATGTAGCATGAAGATGTAATTCTATATAAATAGTGGATCATCCCAAAACATTTAATAATCATTTATTTTGCCAATGACAATGATACAATAAATTTCAAATGCATAAAAGTGGAAAAGCATAAAGACGGTCATCTGCTATGTGCAGTCGTAAGCACATGGACCTACAATATACTGAAAAGAGAGGTGTGTAGCAATAAAAAAATCATATTTAAATGACTACTAGAGAGGCGGTAGAAATAGCAGTAGAAACATGTTCAGAAAGGTTAAGACATGGAGAAAACGGAAGCATGGATGAAGATAATGAAGAGACACAAGAAGCCATGCCTGACTCAATAAAAAAAAAATGATACATTGTCAAACGCAATGACACCATATGATCCATGCCTCAATCTCAGTGGAAATGAGTTATGGTAAATTCCAACAAACTAAGGGAGGAATTGAATATCACTGCTCTGTATGGTAGTAAGCAACCTTACTCCCTCTCACATCAGGAATAGACCCAGTCGCCGGGGCAACAGAGGGAGGGTTGTGGGGGCTATAATCATGAGCGTTGAGGAGAGGACTGACAAAAGAAGTTTGCAATCAACAGAGAAGGAGAAGGGTACAGATGGACAGGGAAAGGAAGTAGGGACAATGGGGGCTGGTTACTGGCAGACGTGTAGGACAGAGTAAGGAAGTAGGGGCTGCAGGTGAGCCAACCCCAAGGTAGTGCCCATTGCAACCTTTGATGGTGCCCAGTTTAATGGCAGATAAAAGCACCCATTGGAGCCCTGCATGAAGCCTGTCCCCGACAAAGGTGAAGATGACCACATGAACCTCAGACCCAAGCAACGACGGTTTTTCATCATATCAAAAACCTTGATGGGCTACAAGAGATGAATTCGAATAGTTAATACATGTTTATTATTCTCATGACAATGCAACTAGAGGGAATAACTAGAAGGTAGTTTTGAGCTCCTAAAAAAAAAATACAGAAACCTACAACTTAACAGAGTGTTTATAAAAATTAAAGAAATTAACCTAGAAAATTCCACAAGGAGATTGGCTTACTTGTAACGCTCACAGAAATGCAACGCCATCTCACCCACTGCTCCCCCACTAACAATAACCTTGGCGCCTGATTCAGCAACGGCTCTAATAAGCTCCTCAACTTTTGATTCCTCAGTTTTTGAATAGTTCTCTAGCTGTTAAATGCACAAGAAGTGTAAGTGACCACCAGTTTTCTGTCAATCTGACAATGTAGACAAAATAGTCCATGGAAACTTAAAGTAAAGGGAATCATTTGACAGTGACCAAAAAAGTGGCCAAAATAGAGATCCTTATTGTTGATAGCAAGAAGAATATATGGTTATCTGAGAATGCGTCATTTTGGGATTCTGACAATTTGTTTAATCAATAGAAATCGTGACCCAGTTCACGCAGATATTATGATTCCAGAAAATGACGGCACTATTGCTTCAATCCAACGGATACATCAATGCTTCCAGCCGGTATGTAAGAAAAAATAGAAGCAGGTGGATTGATTCCTATTAATATGGAACTTTTATCCCATGTTCAACCTATTACTTTACAATTATGGGTAGAGCCAAAAAGTGCGCACTGTACAAGTTACCAAAAACGTTGAAAAAAAAGGATGGGAGAAAGAGCTCCAGTGTCTGAGATGCATATATCTATAAATACATAAAAACATAAAAAGCTATTCAGAGTTCTCAATGACAGACGTTATTTGTAAACAACTAGATCAGTACACCTCCAAGGAGACTGCCACAAAGTGTGCCCATGAATAATAGAAAATAGAAAAATGAAACTATCAATTAGCTCCCTAGAAACCATACCTGCTCAGCACTTTGTATCAGTACAGTGCCTTTCGTTTCTGTCGCAGATGTGTCCACACCACTAACAAAGACAGCAATCTGCGAACACCACAAAAGCGAGCTTGGTCAAATGATAAAACTTCAAACAAATTTGAATTAAAAGCATGGACATTGCTGGTCTCTGCCTGCAACCGCACTACAGAAACTTAAAGATACTGGACACAAAACTCCATTAGGGCATATACCTGAACCAATATATGCCCAAATGAATATACAAAAGCCGCAAGAATGGAAGGCAAATATTCTAGGCAAATAATGATAGACAGTGGGTGGATTTTACTATGACAATAGGCAGCTCAGTTCCTCAGGTGGAATATGAAGAAGATATGCCCAAAAAAAATCAAAATTAAATGAGAATAATCAAACCTTAGAATTACATCCATAGTATACAGTCCACTTTTAAGCATTGAGAAAAGCATGATTTCCTAAGTGGTTAAGCGACATGGAAAGAAGAGCGTTTCAATCGTGTACGAACTAAATAGCAAGCTTTTGCCAGAATAATAGAAATATAGACATCTGTTCACAGATTTAGAATAACAAAAAACGAATCACAACCAAAATTTATTGTGTAAGATGGGATGTACTAATGTCAGGAAGGAATCTAGCGATCCTATAACACAAGAAAGCCCATTGTTTGATTGTTCTGTTCACCAAAATTGAACTTGTAAAAGTGCAGATGGTTCCAATGCCAAGAATTAATGTACTCATTCCCTTAAAAGATGGAAAGTCATAGTATGGGCAGTCTATCAATCAAATTATGAACTCCGTGTGGAAGCTTTATAACTGCTATAGCATCTTCTTGCTTTCATCCTTGTCGGCAGTGAAAGAAAATGCTAGTGCGACAAAAAAGTCCCAGCCGATTTTTATTCCCGCCCCTATTGATCAGCCAATTGCTGTCTTAAAATTTTCCTCAACAACCCTACCTTGTTCCAAACTTTGTTCCACAAGTGCCATCCTAAAGGAAGGAGCTCATTTACTCTGTTGCAATGTTGTTAACGAATCCTTCATTATTCTGTGGAAATGACATACATGGGGCAGATAGCATATAATTCGAGTTAGATGAAATCTTACAAAGTTCAGTATTCCGGCCATTCCCCACTTCCACTCCAACATAGAGTAAGCACCAGGTAATGGTCTTGAACCCTCCTTGAAGGGCTTTCCCTTAACCACCTCTGTCATAGTCCACTCCTATTCTCCACACCCAGTATCCAAACAATCTTAGATCCTCAAAAGATCGATCACCTTCCTTTTCCTACTTCCTAAACATCCCCCATTCGACTCATGATGCCCATTATTGAGTTCCAGACCACGGTGAAGAATTTTACAAAAGGACATATAGAAGAGTTCGCATACTGACTTAGAAGGAATTTCCCACTGGATAATTTGCATACTAGACTAGGGCATGACTCACATGATCGGGATAATGTATAGTGAAAATAATTTGAAAGCATTTCTAACGGAAAAAAACGAGGGAGATGCAAGCGAACAAGAATAGATTTTCAACCTTGGCCTTCTCCATTTTCTTGATACTACCGACCGCATCATGTTTCAAGACCATGCCACGGACGATCGTACAATTTTGCAAGCCACCCCCAACCAACTTTGCAACTCTAACATTGTCCACATTGAAGTTTACAGGATTCTTGGGACAGACCTGGATACATGCCTGAGTCATGATGAAGATTCAGTGTCAGCTAAACTTTCCACGGAGAAAAACCCCGAAACAAATTGAAAAAAACTCTACGAACATCAGCAATGAGCGGGCACAAAATGTCTTCTTGCCCATACTGCTTGCTGGCAACAGCAGCTCTCATCCGCAGGACGACTTCATCTTTGTTTCGCACATCCATCGTCTCCGATCCCTTCTCTACTAACTCATCCAAAATTTCTATGGTCTATAATGTCATTAAGAGAAGTCAGATTATGAAGCCAGATACTTCGAGTCAAGCAATATGTCTAATATAACAAGAAAGATATGTCAAAGGAACCTTGTTAATTCCTTTCGTGTAACCACTGATGATCTCGCTGGGGTGCAGACCAGTCCTGATGAGCTCAGCCGCATTGTGGAGAAGCTCCCCACCGAAGGATATCGCCAGGTTGGCCCCATCACCGACCTCCTCCTGCTGAGCCTTGCCTGCGAGCACCAAAATCTTCGCAGCTGGATGTTGCACCTCGAGCTCGTTTACGATCGTGGCTGCGTCATTCGTCACGAACAGCTTGTCCAGGTGGTTTATCACCATCTTGTTCATCCCTGGACTCTCCGATCAAGCATGGGTGAGAAAGTAAACAACAAAATCAGAAAGAAGATGAAGAAAACGGAACTTCCGCTCGCATCGCACCATTTGGACCGAGGGAGGTGCGAGTGATGACCGAGAGCTCCTGGCATGCGTCAATGTTCTTAAGGACGGCCTCTTCCAAACCCGATAGGTGCCGATGTCCCTCCTTAAGCATCGACTGGAGGCCATAAGGCTGCATGTTAAACACCATTTTCCCCACCCACTCCTTCTCTGCCCGCTGACGGCGCTAGGGAAGACGACGTTCACGAAGAGTCCTCCGAGGGTACACTGGAGGCAGAGCGCGCCTCTAGAATGCCGGAGAAGGAACTGAGAAATACTGAGGCCTCCCAAGCAGTGAAAACCAGACAGAAACCCTAGCTTAGACCCCCACCGTTCCTCCGCCGAACAGGGGAAATTAACTTAGGTTGACACAGACCGGGCCTGAAACTGGCCCGGCCTGAAACTTAGCCCGGCCCTAGTTCGTTCGTCTTATAACAAGGCTTCAAGCCCGAAAAGAAGCCCGAAACCCTAGTTCGCTCTCTCTCTCTCTCTCTCTCTAGTTGTTCTCCCAGGACAAAGTATTCATCTCAGAACCCACTTCACAAACACTCTGTCATTCGACCTGGGCTTTTTTCGGGCTTTAAATGGACCTCGCTGCCCTTCCTTATCTCAGGCCCAAGGCCGAAAAAAGAGAATGGGACAGATCCGGACCATAACTTAGGAAAAGGAGACCGGCCCGGAGAGCGATCTACTCATTAATTCTATAAATACTTAATTTATTATTAAATTATTACCTCAATTAAATATATTTATCATTTATGAATATATTAATTTATTATCTTTAAAAATTGATATATTGGGCAGATGAGATCGCCAGATTCCACGTCGGACAGCTTTCGGATCTACGCGGGACGACCCGATTCTCGATCGAGTGGTCGATCCTTTAAGGGTAATTCATTAAAATATATGTTTTTACGGTTATATTTAAACAAATAGCAATATTTGTGGAGTAAACTGAAACTAGTGGGTTGGGGGCAGGCGGCAATACCAAGGTAGTTTGTTTCTCTCCGGAGCAGCAACTGTGGCAGTGGAAGGAGAAGAGGAAATCCGTAGATTCCTGATCTTCCATAGTTGTGATGACGGAGATTCTTGTCGGCGCGTCCATGGCGTCGTGTCCCGTCGCCGGATTTCGCCATCCTCGAGGACTTTTTCCCCGGGCCGGATCGAGGCTTCCTGCCGGAGGGATTCGCCGGCTCTCCCCAGGACGATGCGTCTCCTTCCCCGTTCCTTATCGGGTGGGTAAAGTCAATCTATCGAATTTATGGTAATCATTACTTGGAAGTAGTGTAGTGGCTTGTGGATACGAGCTAGATGCGGTGTCTGATGGTTTTAAGATTTGTATGATCTAGATAGGTATATACAGTACGATTTTAATGCGAAAATTAGGCCTAAAGATCAAGGAACACACTCGAAAACTTCAATCACCAGAAGATGGTATTACTGACTTCCATCAGAAAAAACTAAAGCATGGATATGAGGACAGGGAACCGAAGTGGGACTCGTAAAGAAAATAGAGAACATGCAGTGAGCCGACAGCAGCTAAAAGATGACGATCTCTAGAAGATCAAGAAGAGGAGAGACTTGTGAGCTTGACATGTAAAATGTTCAATATCCACCGAGAAATAATTTTGAAGTTCTGAGATTCTCCTGTGTTTCATCAATTAGAACTATGTATAAGCGTCTTAGTCCGATAGGAAATTAAGTTTTTACTGAAAATCAGTGCGAAAGAGGGAAAAATCAGGGCGTGGTTCACATGATAGCGTATTGATCAAACTAAAATTTTGGAAGATCTGAAATGCTCCGTGATCAATATGTTCCTGTGTTTTTGAAATGGCTTCTGGATATTTTATGGGATAAAAAATATTGAGCTACTGCAGAAAACCGCATTGAATAGATTTAATCAGCATAAATGGACACGTTTATGCGGATGTATGTGCAGATAAAAATAGATAAGAGATCTTGCATCGAATGGCTCTAGTAAAAATATGGGAAGGAATGTTGCAACATGGAGTGAAATCAGAGAGAACCATTTGGCATGGTTTGCACATATATATGGACGGCAGATGGCGCATTAAGAGGTATAATCCGATGGTTCTAACAAGTAAAGATCAATTGCGAATTTTTTTTGATAAAGTGAAGAAAAATATGATATAGACATCTTAGATGTTTAACATAGTCTATGACAGAGTACTTTAGAAAAGTAGGTAGCATCATCAAGACCTGTTATTGTGAATGTTCTGGATGATGATTTTTATTTATCGTAAAGATTCACCATTTATTGTTGTGCTATTTGACTTAGGTGGTGATTTTAAAGATTTGTGTGTTTTACATATGAGATATTCCTCAGATAGTCCTCAGAGTCCACATTTCAATGATTTGTTTAAGAAGTACGAAAGGCAGAAAAGGATAGCTTTTCAGTGGGAACAGAGGTCTCTTCACGAGTTATCCTCACGAATTTTGCCCATTTTTATTTTATAACTAAAAACCTTAGGCTGACATTGACTACCTGGGTTAACACTACCGTCAGATTTATAAACGATATTCGGAAAATTTTAGTAAAGCATTGTCATCTGAACTTCTTCCCCCAGTTTCTGTGTGTGCTTTTTACAGAAAAAATTTAAATAAGCTTCAGTCTCCAACTCTATCAACTTAACTCTTTTAGTCTCATTTGCTTAGACGTCAAGAGGCTTCTACGATGTCACTCCTTAGGACTTCCGCCTGAAAGTTATAAACGACGTACTGGAGAACCACTTGGGATGATGTCTTTTATTATGAATTCTTTGCAGAGGCTATGACAAATGCAGTTTCTCTTCATTATGACAAATGCAGAGGCTATGACTAGCCCTCTGATCGTGCAGCAGTAATATGGCACTCAACTATTTCCAGATTATGCAGTTGATCTGAACGGTTCGTAATGGAACATATCTCATATGGTAGTCACTGATGTGTCAGAAATCAGTGCAGAAAGGATAGATAAAGTCACTGTAGTAATAATGTATGATTATTTTATAATGCTACTTTGCAATGATTACTCAGTCTGCTGTTTTTAAATTTGAAAGAGCACGGATTTGCTATTTTTGTGGACTCTTATCAACTGTAGCTATTTTTTCTTTCAGAATACAGTGGACATTTTCTCTTTAAATGCTCATATGCTAATGATACATGCAATGGAATGACTAGTTTCTTTGACTTGGAACATGTTAATCACTCTAATCTATTTTATTATGGAATACGCACCTGACTTTTATATCAATTCCTTACTGTTGGAGTTATTTATACCTTGTTTGTACCCAGTATGCAATGAATTTTCTCCAATCACTTTCCATAGATTTCTGTGGTAGTTCTCTATTTATCAACTCTAAACTTATGTGGAAAGTATTTTTCGCTCAGAAATTTCCCGTCTCCATTTTTACCTTTGTGGGAATTCTGGCGTTTATTAAGTTAATCTAACCAGAGTTCTAAGCGGAATGTCTTCATTAACTGTTCCATTTTCATTTTCAGAGAGTTTCAGCTTCATCAGGTGACTTGCAAAGCTGCAAAAGCAAACTGGAATCTCTATTTTGTTATGATAAATCGATTCCAGAAGAGAAAATTGAAAAGCCCATTGGTTTATCATTGAGCACGAAGGAAATTGGGGATAAATCCCCTTGCATGGACTGTGAATCAAAAGGGGCTGTCTTGTGCACTACGTGCTCTGGTTCAGGCTTATATGTTGACTCCATTTTGGAGTGTCAGGGGATTATTGTCAAAGTTAGGTGTCTAGGTACGTATCTCCTTTCATAGTTCCTTTTACCACCATGCTCAATATAAATCTGCTTTATATCAAAAACACTAGATTTATCAGTTTTCAACCATATCTTTCCTCTCTCGTGTACTGATTTGATTTCATCATTTCTGTGACGAATTTCGAGAACTGTTGACTTTTGTTCCTTCAGTTGGTAGCATTGATGATTTATATTCTATCGTGATATATGATGGAATATATACAGAAAAAAGTATTAACCAAATTTCTTGGATCCTTTAAGGACCGACACAAGCAACTACATATGTTAAAAGATTTAGCTGCGATAGAGACTAACTGTGAGAAGCTTATGGTCCTAGATCGAAAAGCCTCTATTTTTTAAACAATATAGCATCTTTTTTTGAAGTCAAGCATAAACTTCCTCATATATGATTTGGTGTGCTGTGCATGCGGAAAAATCCTCATCCGATAATGACAATACTGTAGTCACTACTGAAAAATCCTCATACTTGCTCTTTTCTCACAATCTGTAGTCACTACTGGAGAAGCTTGCTACAAATCCAACCAGGTGGGGACATGCAAGCACCTGTTAGATCTAACTTGATGCAGTATCATGCCTAGTTCTTTACCTTATTAACCCGCTGTAATAATGAAAAGCTAACAGTGGTACAGTAGAAATGCAGACAGAACGAAAACAAGCTGGAGAGAATAAAATGCCTGCATTTTATACGAGTGTCACATGGGGGGAAACATGATGTTGACCTTTCAATCATCAGCTCAAGACTCGAACCACAAACTTCTCATAGTTACAGTCTCTATCTGAGTTAAATCTTTCAACATATGCAGTTGCTTCTGTCGGTCCTTGAAAGGATTACAGAAACTTGGTTAATACTTCTTTTCTGCATATATCCATGATTGAAACAGCTTTTTCTTGTATACCTCTTAGACATTTTAATTTGCATAATATCTGGTGGTCTATGTTTTAAATACCTTTGGACACAATATCCGAAGGAAAAGGTAAGAAAACCTGACATGTGTTCAGTTCCATGAGAAATTGTCACATGAACTCGCACGTGTATTCATAACTTGGCTATTGTTTGTCTGCATATGTTCTACAGTTTATTCATTTCCCTTCAGAAGTGTTGGTTTACTTTCCTGCCCTGATGTGGAACCTGTTGGGCTGTGGTCATAGGCTGTGGCGGCTCTGGCAACACCATGTGTTCAACATGTGGAGGGAGAGGCCACCTCTGAGTTGACTAACCAAACGATTGCCTCCTTCTGTTTTACCCCAATTTGTAGCAGTGAAAGATATTCTTTTAGCCCCATTTGTTATCTTCACAATTTTTTTTCTCTTGCTTGTGTTTCAAATTTTTGCGCCATAGATAGATAGATAGAGAGAGAGAGAGAGAGAGAGAGAGAGAGAGAGAGAGAGAGAGAGAGGAGCAGAGGAGGAAGGGGACGATGGGGGCAACTTGTCTACCCATCAACTAGTTTTATAGAGTGAGCGTGTGTGTGAGAGAGAGAGATAGAAGCAGAGGGAAGCACAGGAGGAAGAGGAGGAAAGGAGACGATGGGGGTAACTTGCCTACCTATCAACTAGTTTTACTAAGTGTGTATGTGTGTGAGAGAGAGAGAACCAGAGGGGAGCAGAGGAGGAAAGCAGACGATGGGGGCAACTTGCCTACCCATCAACTAGTTTTACAAAGTGAGTGAGTGAGTGAGTGAGTGAGAGAGAGAGAGAATGATCATTAAAGCAAGCATGTGATTAGAGAAGCAGGCTCGAGGTATTTAATCAAATTGCAGGCATGTCTATTTCTTTCCCAATTTATTTTGAAGATCCAATCTTGAAAAGACAAGCTGGGCCAAAGCTGATCTCAACCCTAGTTAGTGTCTTTTTGAATGTTTTAATTATAAAAAAGTCCCATCTTGACTGAATTCAGACAAAAAAGGCCAAAACTTTATCTTAATAGATTGTTATAGCGTACAACATCATTCAAATAAATCATCGGCTACAAAAAGGTATTTACTTAATGTTGACTAAATTTGGCTGCACTATCCAAAAAGATGAAAATATCTCTAACAGGACCAAAAATCTCCCTCCGTACTGTTATTATTAACCCAAGGCTAGTTAGCCCCAAGCGGTCAAACAACAAATTCCCAGCCTAGGGCTGACCAGTGCCTCTATGCCACCTGTCAAGATTTCATAGGTCCAGGTCAATAATTATCCGATATTAGTTATCTCCTTAATTGCCCCAGTGAGTTGTTCATGCCCTTCAATCCTCGAGTTGCACGCGAGGTATAATCGTCATTCCTATATAGTGGACTGGGCCTGGGCTTGGATTCATAAGGGCCGTTGACAGGTTAGACCTTTCCGTACTGATTAATTTACACGTTAGCATTCCCCGGTTCTCGTTAGTGGGCCTTGTTTAGGCGAGGGGGGCCCCACATATCCGGGGCAGCAACTATCACCGCCGATCGACAAAATGGGCTACTTTCTCCTTAGGACGGGAAGAACCGTTGGGAGAGGACGAGGGAGAGGAGGGGTGGGAGGGTGCGAAACCCTAGAAGTTTCGACGAGACGTCGGATGCTCGTGCGTTTTCGGTTCCGCCATGGGGGCCAGCAGGAAGCTGCAGGGGGAGATCGATCGCGTCTTGAAGAAGGTGCAGGAAGGGGTCGACATCTTCGATAGCATATGGAACAAGGTCTGACCCTCTTTCCCTTCGTGGACTCCTGGAATTCTGGGATCGTTGCTGGTGTCATGCGGGCTCTTTCCGCGTCGGCAGGTCTACGACACGGAGAATGCGAACCAGAAAGAGAAGTTTGAAGCGGACCTGAAGAAGGAGATCAAGAAGCTTCAGAGATACAGAGACCAAATCAAGTCATGGATCCAGTCCAGCGAGATAAAGGATAAGAAGGTTGGTGTATGATCCCAACATTCGGTGCGCATCTTCGGTTGCTTTTAGGCTTTAATATTTGGACTTCTGGAGTCTATCTATGCAGTACTATCTCTGAATTCACAGTACATAATGTCAGCCAGTCATCGGTTGTTCTATTTTACGTGGAATTATTTTTTTGGGGCCCTTGTGATCTTTTTATCTTATAATGCTCCGTACGCTTGTATCTTTGATACGTAACCTTGCTGCTAAAAAGTTCATTCCCCTTATTTGGCAGACTCTGCCATTCCGTTGATGTGGTATGGAATTGCTTTTACAGTACGTTGCAATGTTTCTGAAGCGTCATTCCCTTCCTAGGATGGACAGTATGTTCTTACGCTGATTTGGTATGGAACTGCTTTTGCAGTAGGTGGCAGTGTTTCTGAAGTGTCATTCCCTTCTTAGGCTTGCGGTATGTTTTTGCGTCGATTTGTCTGGAATTGTTTTTGCACAAGGCTAGATGTTCATGGGAGCCTGCGTTCCAAAATGATCCTATTTTAAGCTTCTATTCTGCTAACTTTGTTCGTTTCTTCCTACTTACTATTTTCGAAACCATGATCAATGCCAGGGCCGTGGATCCTTGTTTTACTGAGAATTGGATTTTCAGTCTCAATGGTTGAAACTTGGAGAGTACATATATAGCTACTTATTTGCTTGTTTAGGAATTTTCGTGGGGAAAGTATTCACTGTCCACTAAGATTGAAATATCTTACAGGGATGATAATTTACTTGTTCCTATGCTAGTATTCAACTTGAACATGTGTCTCAGCTTGACCTCAATTCTGCAATGAGCTCATACGATATTATTTTTAGATTACTTACTATGCTTCTCTTTGTCTAAAAATAATATATATTTTCAGATGTAGACGTTCTAGACGTTTTTTCTTATTGGAGAACAGTAATACCACACATGGAGATATTCTTCTTGCTTTACATTGCTTCTGTTATGTCTGTGGACGATGATGGCACTCATAGTGTTTTGCCAATTGGATTGTTTTAGGATGTCCCAAAATTTTTCTTGGTGTAATTATGCAATACTCGTGTATTTTCGAGAGCTTGTGAAGTAGGTACACGTCACTCGTTTATAACTGTTAATTATGCAAAAATTATCTAAGCTGGATTCACGAAAGTTGGATTGTTTGAAGCATAGTTATCTTCTGTTGTTTTCCTCCTTAATGTAAACTTGTCATGTTGGTGTTAACTACGAAATTTGTGATACATGTTGACATAGGTTAGTGCCTCTTATGAGCAGGCTCTCATGGATGCACGAAAGCAGATTGAACGTGAGATGGAACGATTCAAGGTGTGTGAAAAGGAGACAAAGACAAAAGCCTTCTCCAAGGAAGGTTTAGGTCAGCAACCAAAAACTGTAAGTCAGTGCTGTATTTCTTTCTGCTTCTTGCCTCTTCTTTGTACCTAAATTTATTTTCATCATTACAATTTTTACGTGTTATGGTAAGAATTTGGGTTCATACTCGACCAATTTTCCTGATTTTATGCCTGACAAGGAAGATAAGTATATGAAACCGAAAATATAAACTAAATAATTTTAACCTTCATATTACTGTTTTTATCAAGGCTTTCTGACGTCTAATGCTGACATCATTTTTGATCAAATTGTCATTGGTGTAATGGTGGAAAATCCAAAAAAACTCGTTGTCATTTGTTGATGAGATAAGTATAGTGTGCCATTTTATTGATTTCTATCGAAAGTTGATGCTTTCTTCCTGAATAATTCATGTACCATGTCTTGAATGTTTTGCTACAGCTTTAAGTTGCAATAGAACTAAAGTTCATATCATTTGGTTATTAACTATCATTCGTACCTCTGTTTTCTTGTTTATACATAATTTCGTAAGTTAACATTTTTCCCTAACAGTTGTCATTTCTTGTCTCATTTTCATAATAAATTATAAAGTGTGCAAATAAATATTTGTTCTAACAGAAAGACAGTCATGTGAAAAAAGCTTACAATACTCTCTAATTGCACGTCCCCATTGGTTTGTTAGGTTTAGTTCTGGTAATGGTATGTTGTTAGGTGAGTATTACCACGGATTGATTTAATTTGCTAACAATGATTTGAATTCATGTGATATCGTCATGTGTAGGATCCAAAAGAAAAAGCTAAATCAGAGACAAGGGACTGGCTAAACAACATTGTAAGTAGGGGTTAGATTTTCCTTTCTTTAGTGCATTGATCATTCAGTTTACATCTATTCGATATCGATAATACGGTAATTTATCTTATGCTTTGTTTCGTGTTCTAGTGATTATGTATTGATTGCGATGTATTTATTTCATGCTGAAGATTGACAGCAGTTAATGTTTACCTAGAACTCATGATATCTCATATGTATGTTTCAAATAAATATCCTTTCCTAAGTTGTTTCTTGTTTGACTTAAAACTTTTTATGGTTTCAAGGAGCATGTGCTCACTATGGTCTTACTTTTTCTGTTGATGTGCACATTGACTTTTTATTTTTTTCCTTGTCATTCGTGGTTTTCAAGTTTTTTTTTGGTACTTATATCTGCTCAGTTTTTTCCCTCTATGAACCGATAAAATGATAAATTGTCTAGTGATGCAAATCTTACTGATTTTTATTAGCATCCTTGTGAATGTCTTTTATCAGTACAGTAAATGTTGTGTGTGTTCTTTTTGGCTGGTTACTGGGACTCCATTGTGAATGCAGCTCGACTGTTCTATGCTAGAAACTGTTGGCATAATCTTTGTGCATATCTCTATCCTCATGTTTGACGTGGGTTTACCCAGAATATGAGGTTTTCTCATGGCCTTTGGTCTACTTTGGATTAATGTTTCTCGCTCCCCTCTTAAAGAGCGATGAAGGGCAGATGCTTACCTAGCAGGAACCAATATTGATCCCTGAGGGAGAACACTACTCCGATAACCAAGGAAGGACCCAGAACTTGTGGCCCAAATTACCCAAAATGTGAAAAACATAAAGCATGACGGTTTGAAGACCCAAAATACATTCAAGACCCAAATCCAACCTAGCAGACCCAAGGCTTAGATAGGCATTAGTTTTGTGGCACTAGTAGTTGTTTTCTTATTAATTCACTTTTCTGGCACTAGCAGGCTACTTGTTGTAAAATCTAGTCGTTCCAATAGTAATAGAATATTGTTCTCTACTTGTGGATTCAAGCAACTCTTGTGAATTTAAAGAGTGTTCTTATGATCCTAATGGATTTAAGGGTCATTTAAATCTTTGTTGATCAAGGATTGAGGGTTCCATTCCTAAAGAATTCAAGGTCAGATTTCCCTTCTTTCCGGACTTCTTCCACATCAAATCTCATTTTTATGATTAATAATATTTTTTCGATACTTTATATTCGTCTTAATTTTTTATTTTCTCATTGATCTGACCTTTGTTAGCTGCGGAGGGAGTAAATATTAGATGTATCTTTTGAGCATGGCAGGTTGGTGATCTAGAATCTCAGATTGACAACTTCGAAGCAGAAATTGAAGGACTTTCTGTGAAGAAGGGGAAAAGTAAACCAAATAGATTGGTGAGATTGGATAAGATTAATTGATGACTTTATCTATGAGTTTATTTTTATCTGAGTTGAGTAATATGGATAATTCAGATGTATGGTAATAGACTCGATGCTAACCTAAAGTGGTGTTTTCTTGTTGTTGATTTTTTTCCCTTGTAGACTCACTTGGAGACGTCAATTACTCGGCATAAAACCCATATTATGAAACTAGAGTGGATTTTGAGATTATTAGACAATGATGAATTGAGTCCTGAACAGGTCAACGATGTCAAGGAATTTCTAGAAGATTATGTTGAACGTAATCAGGTGCATATTTTAAATTATATTCTGCATTTTGTATTGCTAGTATTTTTTTGTGTGCTATCATGCTCAATTTAGAATGATCTTCTGTATATATTGAAGTTGTTAAACTTTAAACTTTTAGGGTGCATCATCTTTTCAACAGTTTCTATACCTTTTCACTGTACTCATTGAGTAGATATTTGAAATTCATTACTAAATTATTGTTATATTGCCGCTCCTTCAGTTCTATCCACTGTTGGTTGACCTTCTAGTTTTTTCCATGTTTTGTGCAGGAGGATTTTGAGGAGTTTAGTAACCCTGATGAGCTTTATAGTGCATTGCAACTAGAAAAAGTGGAATCTCTTGACGATTTTGCTATTGCATCTACAACTCTCGTTAAGGTACTTCCGTTATGTCTATCCTGTGCTAGATTGCACAAGAATGATGATGATATTCAATTACCCGATCGTTCCTTGTAGTTTAGATTCATCTGCTTTGATCCCTTTTCAGTTCTTGTATTTTCAATTGGTTTATTTCCATTTATCTTTGCTACCTTTTACTTTCTTTGAAACTCCAGTCTTAAAAGGTACTGCATCCTTTCTAGCCTGCATTTGGGAAATTCACCAAATGGAAGAGGGTTTTTTAACCACGAATTTTTTATGGGAAGGTGGAGAGCACAAAAGAGTATTACTAGGGAGAAAAGTTTTGTAATTTAATTCATGCTGCAAAAGAGTCTTAAGTGATCAAAGGCTGCAGAAAGGTATACAATTTAATGCATAGTTTGGAAGAAATTTGAAGTGGAAGTGAATGTTTTTCCTTAGGTTTCATCAGCTAAAGGATTAGCATCGCCCATCCTCTGTGTAATCGAGTCGAGGTGGGTGTTATAGATGGCTTGGAAAAGTAAGAGCACATTTTTTTTGAATTTCACGTTTAATTGTGCTGCAGAAAAATGAAAGAATAGTGAAGGAGAAATGTGCGGACCTGGTTTCTATACTATTTCAGTACTTGGAATTAGTCGGTACAAGACATTGTCCTTTGTGCATGCATATCAGTGTCTATGGGAGATGTCACATTTAATCACTAGAAGATTATTCATGATGTAATGGAAATATGATACAACTTCCAGAGAAAATCACATTCCAAACAGGTGTTGACTCTGATGGCACACTATGGATATATAAATGCATTTACATGAATTCATAAGCCCAGTAAGGATGGCATTATTCAAGCATACTATGTCAGATTTAAGAATCAGGGTTTCGGTCTCATGCGGGGAGCATCCAGTGCAGACTCCATAGTTATGTTGCTGCATAGAGTGTGTCATCTCGCTGCTGTAGTGATTGCAGCTGTGGATGGCACCTCTGTGTGCTGCTGGCGTGCCTGGGCAAACCAGTGTACTGCTGGACAGCAGGCAGGCCCAGATTGCTTTGCCACCTCCAGTGGGGTCAGTGGCTTTCCACACCCCTCTATCTTTGAACATTCAAATATCTTTTGTTTTTACTGGGCCGGAACGGTTGAACCTTATTGTGGTCTTTTGGGCCCACTGAGAACCATAGACCTCTTTGATTTCCTTAAAATGTTGTAGCAAGTATTCCTTCATTGCTGCTGTTCCTCTTTCTACAGATTTTTTTCTGCAAAATAGATCGCAGTATCTTTGGATTTGCACTGTTCTGCATGACTTGGTTGTTTTTTGAAGATTCCATTTTCATCTTGATTCGTTTTAAACAAATCTTGTTTTTCGTTCATGAGGTTTAGCAAATTTAATCTTTAATAACGATAATCCATTCCCGTGTTTATGGAAGGGTGTTGGTTCTGTTTCCACTAGTGCTGTTCTTGGACTGAAGGGTTCAATAGCAAGTTCAACGTCACAAGCACCTGTAAGTCACATGGGATCTGAGAAAAATAGTTGACGTGGATGGAGCTACAGTCTGCTTTTTTCGCAGTTGTCCTGTCTGAATGTGAATGCATTTTGATAAAGAGTGCAAATGAAATGACCACTTTCAGCATTAGTTTTTATAACCTTGGTTTCTCCTGTGATGTGTCCTTCTCGTATGCTTAGCAAATAATTGGGCTTGAAGTTTTATTTTTTGATCCGTGTAGTCGTTTTAATACTATGAATAGCTTCTTGGGTAAATTTGCACCTGACCATTGAAAGTGATTGCTTCTGACAATCACTTCTTCCTGTCATCAGTAGCAAACAGAAATCATGTGTCGAATGCCTTAAAATACGAATGTGCTTGTTATTAAGTATTTTTTGGACCAGAATGTAAAAAATAAAATCCAGCGATCTCAGATTAGATATTATTCTCGGTGAATACTCGGTAGGCAGGCATTCATGTCAGATGTACGTTGGATTTTCTAGTTATCTTTCCTTTTAATGTATGAAAATGACATAGCAGAACCTTCTACAATTAAGGGTAACTGTTATTTTCAGATTTTCTTCCTTTTTATTGTGCACAATTTGTGATTTTAAGTGATAAAGAGGAATAGAGAGGCAGTTTGAGTACTTATTATGCTAGAAAAAAATGTGCATACAGTGGGTGAAATAATAATAACTGGCAGAATTCCTCATAAATTTCTTATTGAAACCAATCCTCAATGCATCTTCCGTAAAAAAGTTTATGAAGTTTTGAACTATTAGTGAGGTTTATCTGAAGTAAAGATCATTTGAACTATGTGCATACATTATTTTTACAAAGTTTGTCAATTAGTGGTAAAATAATATTCTTTGGGAAACCGTCATGCCTTTGTAGACTTAGATTAGGATCTGGGTAAGTGTCCTACGCTTAATGACTCTTCTGTTCTTAATGATCATAGTCATGTTGTATAAAACTCCGGTTGAAATGGTGCCTAACTACTTAAGTTTCTTTGCACATTTGAGGAACCGGTTATTTCTTGGCATCTGAAGTTAGCTGAGGATCACGCTATGCTATTGAGGATGCTGCTCTACTTATAAGATAGTGGATGTTAATGTGAACCATTTGCGTAGCCATAGTTCTTACTCGCTTGCAGCATCCCTGGTAAAAATGATTCGTAACAAAGTATGTTTTCTTTCCATAATCAGCAAAGAGTAAGAGTTCTTTCAAAACATTTTTTCCAGTGAGTCTACTTTTATTCCGGAATCCATAACAAGCTATTGGAAATATGCCATCCAGTTCTCTTTGATGCGAACAAAGCAACAGTGACTATTCTGGAAGGACACTGTAACGGCTATGGATATTTTATTTAAGTTCGCTTTAGTGCTGAATTAACAGTCAAAATAAATTCATTCTAGACGTGTTTAGATGGAAGTTTAATATTACTTCTCTTATTCTTCTTTAGGTTAGATGATTAAACTCTTTATTCGCTTATTAACTGGCTTTGCTACCTTATGTTAGACTGTAGCAGCACCTGCTCTTCAGCTGGGTTCTTCCTCTCAGGATCAGGCTGAAGAGACAACCACTCAGGACGGCGTCTCAGACATTCCTCCTAGGACTCCACCTGCCAAAAGTGCAGTTTTGGGCTCCTTGGCCTCTGTATCTTCTCTGGGCGTTGGACTAAGCTCGCAAACAGGGCCTAATTCAGTGAGTCCCGGAGGAAATATCCCTGCAAGCTTTGCTGGTGGATCAACAACTGTTGCTATTCTTTCTGGTCCTGGTAATCTTCAAGGCATCGGTGATAACCCTGTTGCTGCTACTCCGTCAATCGCAATTGCATCTAGTGTAGCCAAGGAGGACGATAATGTGAGTTTCCTAGGCCGCAGATCATCTCCTGCTCCCTCTGAAATTGGCTTAGGGAGAGGAATAGGAAGAGGCTCTGTAATTGGTGGGACATCAACTGGTATTCCCATACCTTTAATGTCTATTGGTGGAGTCTCTGGCAGTGCTGGTTCAACTGCAGTTCCAGTGGTATCTGACGTGACAAAAAGGAATATTTTGGGTGCCGATGATAGAGTTGCGAGTGCTGGCCTTTCTCAGCCTCTTGCTTCTCCTCTGAGCAGCAGAACGAGTTTGCAACAGTTCTCAAGAACTAATGATGGTTCTGTTGACTCTAACAATGTTGCTGAAGGTCCAGTGATCGGAAGAGTTTTTTCACCATCAGTGGTTGGCGCAGTGCAATGGAGATCTCCGACTATCCCTGGATTTCCGAGTCAAAATGACCCTGTATGTATTTGTATTTTATTCAGGGAGTTGTGCAAATTATTTTATGTTGGATTGACTATATTAGGCTTTCCTTGATCATGGGCAATAAGTGTGAAGATTGCTGGTGTTTTTTTTTCTGTTTCTTGTTACCTAAATAGACATGTTTATTCTCCTGGAACATGAATTCTTTTGTGATCTTTTATTTGTGAGATATTACTGCAAGTTGATGGAAGCACTAAAGGCAGGCTCATTCATCTGATGCCATTGCCAAGAAACAAAAATCGGATACGTTATCAAAGACTGCTTAATTTTTTCCAACTCTACGGCCTTGTTTATTTCCCTGTATCTTCCAATCCTCATCATAGATTTTGTTTAAATGTCACTTTATGATTTCCCCTGAAAGCCATATCAGGGAGTGTGCCAACGTCAAGGATATATGCCTTTTCTTTCCAAAAATTTGTTGACGGATCAGTAATCGTGAAGTTTAAATGATCGTATTTTTTGTTTAGTTTACTCTTCTGGCAAGGATGTATAGATAGCCTTCATAGAAGTACTTTGAGACGCTTCTGAAGTCAGGATTGTGTTTTGTTATGATCAATGATATTTGATTTCACCAGGCTCTATCAATATTATTTACTGACCAGATACGTTTGAATCTTTTTCCATGAGGAAACACGATTCCCTATTTTTGACTTTGTCATACACGACTTATGAAAGTATTTGAAAGAAACCTATCACCCTTATGAAAGCTTTTTTTCTCATATACTTTGTCGAGTTGGAGCTTTGCTGGTTTGACTTTTAACTTAGCCTCAAGGGGTTTGTTTTTTCACCAGTTGCGTCCTGATGTAACCCTAAGGTAGGGAATTTGTAAGAAACTTATGGGAAAGAGTTTTTTTGTTATGGTAAAACCTTCATGATTTAGTTCACGCATGGTAAAACCTTCATGATTTATTAGATATAATTATGACTTTATTTTTGCATTTGAATCCTTGGGGATAGTTTTATATTTTGAGACATTTCTCCAGCTATTTAAGGTGTAGTATCTGAAGCAATGAAACCTGGAACTTCCTTTCCGAGGTATAAGTGGTTTAGAGCTTCAATCCCAAAAAAGGATATGCTTGACAAAAGGCCTGTAGCTTCACATTTTTAAAAGCCAGCCTAATAAATACCAATGCCTCTCCGAGGAAACCCCATATCGGGGAGGTCTCTTTGAATCTATCCTTTCATATGCTGTTATTAATTTTTGCGATTAATTTGGGTCGAACATATCCATGTTCGCATAATAGGGATATGGATTTATATGTACGGTCAATGTTATGTGCTCGTTTAGGTGGGTTAATGTGACATTAAATTTCTTAAATGTTATCCCTGTCGTCACTTTTTTGATAGTGCCTTTTCGTATTAGTCTGGTTGTTGGGTTATATTCTTAGAAGCATTCTGGTATGTTGGGCAGTGTGAAGCTGAGGAGCTTTCATTTATTATTTCTGTCTTAACTCTTTTTGACAGTTCCGTGGAAGAACTGAAATTGCTCCTGATCAGAGAGAAAAATTTCTTAAACGCTTACAAGAGGTGCAACAACTGCCACATCTTCCTGGAGGTCATAAGCAGCAATTTCCCACGCAACAACCCGGTTCTCTACTACAACAGGTCTTTTCTTGGTTATGTCAAAGTGCAATCTTCACTGCGACACAATTTCTTATTCCTTTCAATAGTTTCTAGAGAGAGTCGTGCAAAAGACTGGCCCAATATTGACGATTTCAAATTAAATAATTGTATCTAGTTTGGTTTAGCATGATAGAAAATCATCTCTTCTCTGAATTCCAGCAGAAAATATAATGAGAATTGATTTCGTATATTTTTTCTCATTCTTCCAGAAAATATTTATTGCATGAATAATGGTTGTATGTCATTGGGAACCCCACTGCTATAAAGGCATACTTTTGCGAATAACGATGTCATTTCCTCTTTCTTTTTCTCACTCTGATGCTATCTACGATTACTTATTCAGGAGCTGGGAAGCAAAGAATTCTATGAGATTCGGAAATTAGAAATTGAGATAGTGTCACTCTTTGAGTATCGTAATAGTGGATGACTTTTAAAAAAGGCCATTGTGACTTTAATCAACTCTACATATTCATCAAATGAGCTTGTATCACAACATATTTGAAGATATGGTTCTTATTACTTTTTATCTCAATAAATATGGTTCTTATCATTAACTATTCATGTCTGTGCAGTTGAGTCCTCTGACCTCATCTTTGCCATCTCAAGTTGGCGGTCTTGGAATTCAGGGTCCAGGTCTTTCTGTCATTTCATCTGCCCCACAACAGCAAAATTCAGTTCAACAATCGTCTCAACATGCACTTCTTTCAGTTGGATCAAAAGATTCAGGTTCGGACACATGGACTTCATCCTTCTGGTTTCATTTTGATCAGTATATATGTGACTTCACTGGTCCTGCATATCTTAAATGCAGATCCTGATCGTATGAAGGTTGAGGAGCAGCAGCAGCAGCAGCAGCAGCAGCAGCAGCAGAGTTTGTCTGATGACTCTAATGCAGAATCTGCTTTGAATTCTGGGCTCAAACAGAACTTAACCAATGAGGATGATTTGGAGTCAACATACATGGTAAATGCAAATATGGGGGTTTTAATCTGCTAGTCCAGTCTATATCTTTGTAGTGCTCTATTAATTCTCTATTTCTGCGTATTTACACAGAAGCCTAAGATGTCAATGTGATGGATGCATTGTTGGGTATAAATAGCTTGTGGTTTCCTACCTTTGAACTTCGCTCTATGCAATGAATTTTTTTGCATAAAGTTTGATAATTGAGTTAATTTCATTTAACAAATGTGAAGTTCAGAGATAAAAAGTGAATTTGATTCCTAATTTTAATTTGACTCCATTCTTAATTGAGAACACTTTACTCGGTTCAAAGGGGCGAGATTACATGGTTGGCTGGTAACATTCTATTCAAATCTTGTATTATAAGCTTTTTTTCGTGTTAGTGCTGTGGATTGTTTGTTGGCATGATTTCATGTTGGGATGAGTGCTGTTATGTAAATGAAACTGCAGTAGACTCTGAAAAGATTGTTTCTTGGGATTTTTTTAATAATAATATAATTCATGATGAACTGATTGGCTCTGCTGTAGGTCATTCATTGTAGTTTTCGGATTATAATTATAATGTACGACTGGTATGAAGTAATGTTCATAGTCCTGAAGTGTTTTGTACTAATCCTTGCTAATGAATGAAGAAGAAATTTCTTTTCACAGAATATGCTGTATATCTGATTATTTTTGAAAAGGATGTGATAAAGTAGAAAACGGGTCATGTATATGACGGAAACTCTGACAATCTTGTGTGTGCAGTTGACATGTGAGGAATGGGAATCAAATAAGAAGTGAATTTAGGGCAGAAGTTCCAAAAATAGCAATAGCTGATAAGCACTATTATATGATATTCACACTTTTAAACATTTTCTAATATTACGAGTATTTGTTTGATAAATACATTTTGGTGGTTGTATGTCTGACTTGGGCTGGAATCCTGTAAACACGGCCACGGATTTGGGTTGCGGGCTATTGTGACAGGTTGCCTTTTTGGGCTACTCAAAGGCAGCCGAAATTGTGGAGGGGCAGGCTTTATTATAATTCACTATTACATTTCGTTTGGGTGTCATATTCCATGGCTTTACTCTCACTTCCTATTTTCTCTCATCTTTTCCCCTCTGCTTTCATTCTCTTCTCGCACTTCATCTTTCCTGTCTTTGCTTCTTCCATCGACATGTACTGAGATCTTCCTTCTCTCCGTCCCCTTTGCTTTTCTCTCTTTCTCAGTTCCTCTTTCATCTAATATCTCTAATTTCTTTCTGCCCTTTCTACGTTCTTTTCATTTTGGGAATCAGATGAAATAATTATGATGAAGTTGGCGACAACGGGGCTGGTGATACTGCTTGATGAGCATTTGAAACTTCACACAAACATTAAACCTTGCACATCAATTTCATTCTATATGATAATCTACCACCTTAATCTATTTTTATAAATATTGTGTGGTGTCTTATTGTTTTGCTAATGTGTTTGTCATCTTGTGTATCTTAATTATATCTCATGCTTTTTAAATGCGTGGGTTCTAAATATTGTGGGCTTCTATTGTAATGCGATGTTGTCCTTACTAAAAAGTTCCTTAGGTATCTTAAATTTATTTTTTCATTGTGCAACTTTATTTCAATGATTGTGCGTTATAGAGTATGCATGTTTCTTGTTATTTGTAATTAGATAGGCTATTTAATTATTGATTGAAAATTTTGACTGATTAAGGAAAAGTCTTCGAACACATTTTTGATTCACTATTTTTCAAACTTTCTCAGAGTACAACTAGCTTATTTCTTTTTCAGTCTAACTTTTTTCAGACAGGGAGTTCGAAAGTGTATCCCATGTGCCTTTAACGGAATTTTCCTGGTTAAAATGATTTGATGTCTGATATTTTTTCGAAAACTTTTATGAGATAAAGAAATTCTATATTTTGCTATATCAAATGAATTTTGGCAGGATTGAATTCTGGAATAAAAACTTCCTACTTGATGCTAAGTAGCTGTTATTTAGTGGATGATGCTGGTGATGTTGTTTCTACAGTTTATTTAGTCTCTCAGATCTTGATTGGAGAGGGACCATAGCATTAACGCATCAGAAACATTAAAAGAAGTTTTGTTGTTTTTCAGCCCCCTGGTAGTACCTCTACTGCAGACGGGAATCAAGGGGTGCGTGACATTGACCTCTCACCTGGGCAACCTTTACAGCCCTCCCAGTCATCTGCTAGCCTTGGTGTTATTGGCAGAAGAAGTGTTCCAGATCTCGGTGCAATTGTTGACAACATTACTGTTGCAAATCCTGGAGTGCTGCATGATCATGCTTATAACTTGCAGATGCTGGAAGCTTCATACTTCAAACTACCTCAAACCAAGGACTCAGAACGTGTGAAGAACTATATCCCAGTACGTTTTTTTTTGTTTTTTTCTCCCCGTGTCATTCAACTATTGAAGTTTCTAAAGCGACGATAGTATTATTCAAGTCATTTTTTTATGATGATCTTTGTTATCTTGCAGAGGAAACCTGCCGTGACACCTTCTAGCTACCCTCAAACGCAGCACCAAATTGTTGACAATCCTGCTTTCTGGGATAGATTGGGGAGTGAAAAAATAACTGATATCTTGTTCTATGCATTCTATTATCAGCAGGTATGAGGAGATTTTCTATTATATGTTTTCCTTACTTTTTGTTCCGTTCTAGGTATCTTTTGAAGATTTTTGTGCTCTCATCTTCAATGTAATGGTACAGAACACGTATCAGCAGTACCTAGCAGCAAAAGAACTGAAGAGACAATCTTGGAGATACCATAGAAAGTACAACACATGGTTTCAACGACATGAAGAACCGACCGTAACAAATGATGATTTTGAGCAGGGAACATATGTATATTTTGATTTCCATATTACAGATGATTTACAGAACGGATGGTATGCTCCAATACTTCTATGCACTTGTTAGCCTTTACCACGTTTTATCTTCTTTGGATGTATTTTCTTGGGACATGCTCTTTATTATTAGTTTCTTTTAAACATTCAGCCTTTCCCGCTTTGTTTTTTCTACTTCAAGTCAGGACATATCTGAGATGAAGTTCGATGTAGTATTTGGAAGTGGGCGTAACTCATCGAATGTTAGAAGTATAAATGTTAACAAATAGTCATGAATGCTTACATCGATTTTTATTTTTTTTTTGGTATTCCCTGAAGTTGTATGTAACTTGTTCCCCATTTAGAATTGATAGTGGCGCTGGTGGTCATGGTGTGGTGGGGGAGGGGTAGTCAATGACTAAATTTCAGACAGTTTTTCATGTTCTTGAATGTTCCGTGTTAAACCGTTCTTCTCAATCTATGCTTGCTGCCAGGCTTGAATCTTAGTTGTGTTGGGGTAGCTGATGTCCTCATTATTTTACTTGTTCCAGGGTACCGTAGTATTTCCATATCCATTTCTCCTTTCTTGGGGTGGAAGTTTAATCCACTGCTATAATAAAAAAATCACAAAAATCTTACATGCTGCATTTGGGAGCAGTGGGAGAAGGAAGACAATGCTTCCTCTGTTTTAGTTTTAGCAAAGTTGTCTTACCTCAATTCGTTGTGTATAGAATACTCTTCTGTTTTGCATGCCTCCAAGTCCTATCTGTATTTTTTATTTTTTTTCCAGATAATGCTATACTCTAAGAGCAGTGATGGCATTCATGTGCCCACAGAGAACTTCTGCCCATCAATTCAACTTTTTTTCTATGTGTGGGGGTGGGGGGTTAATATTTTAATCAATTCCTTGGTCGTCTTTGGCTAGACTTGTGCCGTGTTCTGTGAGTTTGATCATGCTAGTCGAGTGTTCTTCACTTATGTTCTAAACCAGTGATGTTCTACTGTTGCCCATTTTCTATTACTTTTTTCCGTGAATATCTCCTGACTTCACATGTTTTTTTTTATGCAGTTTTGTTTTAATGACTGCTTGTTATTTCCTTCCAATTGCAGGTGCCAGAGGATCAAGACCGAGTTCACATTTGAATACAGTTACCTTGAGGATGAACTTGTATAGATGTATGTTCAGTCAGGCAGCAGGGTGATTGAGCACACGGTCAAAGCTTTTGGGTATGTTGGCTAACTTTTTCCCTCTCTTACTTGGTTTAAACCCGTGTAAGCATCTTCGCTCTTTTTTCTTTTCATCAATTTATAATCGATGGATCGCATAAAATCTGGGTGTCCGCTTGATCTCTCATTGTTACACTCCCATTCCATATTCCACTAAATCTTCCTTTTCGGCTGCATTGGTAAACTTTTCGCCATTTATTTCTGGGAACTGAAGTTCTTTGTTTTATGCAAAAAATAGTAAACGTCAGCTTTTATTTCGGGGCGAAGCCGAGTGGCCGAAGATGCTTTGAGGACGCTCGATGTAGCTGCCCCGCCAGAATGTCTGATTAGTTTCTTTCCTGGTTCTGTAAGATCTTTGAGAGGCTTCAAAGATGGAACAAGCCACATGAAGCCCCACCTCCAATATTTATCAGAAGTCACAGGCCATCACATGCGTTCTCCATTTTAAGAAATCTTATAAGATTTGGACTTGACATTTTTGTTTCCCTATAGTTTTTCGGTGAATTCCTCTGTGGGTTCTTCAGGTGACAGCCCCATTCTTTTCTTTCCAAATGCTTATGAACTCTGAGATTATGTCATCGTATTGTTGCGCTGTTCTTTACATTCACCCACGACGGGTTCTTGGAAATGTACTTGTTTCCATCTAAAAGCTTCTCTTACTGAATAAATTGCAGGCTTGATCCATTGGCTCATCACGGTGGGATCGTTCTCAAGGGCGGCACTCTGAGATGGGTTGATTAATTATTACGCGATCATTTGTTACTCCTAGCTAAGTGTTCAATTGAATTATCCTTTAAATGAGAAATGCCTCTCCTGCTTTTTTCGGCCATAAACTTTTGTTTTTGGATCCCCGGACAGGTTATAAGTAAAATCGAAATTATAAAACACTACTAAATAGGTTAGAAACAAGAAAAATTACTCCTCTGAACTTGTGATCTTGGAGACCTAACAACAAATGTGTCACTTACGAAAAATAAGTGGTTAGTAATTGATTGATAAGTGTCAATAATCTCACAAATGTGTCACTTTTACATTTTCTATTTTATATTGTCACAAATCTACATCACTCAGCTTTTGGAAGGGAAGTGATGTGATTGGCCAACGGCGTCAAACGATGGTTAATTGGTGGTACGGAACTGCTAATATTATCTCTAGGACTTGTAGAATATCTACTCGAATATTACCATATTTTGCAAATGTCGCCATTAGTTTTATCATGAAACTTATGATATCTTGACAATGATGATGCTTTGTTCTTTTTATTGATGATCATTTGTTGTCACAAGGCACAGAAGAACAAAAATATAAGGGGACTAGACCAAATGGTTGATGGTCCAGGGTTCACTTGCCATTTCAAGGTCTCCATTTTTTACACTAATTGATTGGGGGGAACTCCATTAGTAGGATTTCTTGAAGATTACACAATCACTTCAAGCTTCCCTAGTAATCATAATCACAAACTTCTGAATAAGGGTATTCTGGACCGTGTTCCCATTTCCAAAAATACCTCAATTTATAATCCTTCTGGATCTATGTTACTCGGAGGTTTTATGTTTGAATTATGCAGTGAACTCTTCGGTTTTCATAGCTCCTACTACGAGCATGATATGATCCTAAATGTTTTAATTTTATAATTGCTTGTTTTTATCTCTAATTCTAATGTATTTCCTCTAGAAACGTCTTGTTATCTTAATAACCTTAGGAACCTAAGCCAAGATGCTTTAATCAACAAAATATTATTTTCCTAGTAGGGTTAGGCGTGGTTATTGGGGGTAGCCATTGCTTTTAGCACTGCTAATTAGATATTGCTTATGAAATTAATTTTTAAATCTGTTCATTACTTTGCGCTGTGACCAAGTAGACTCCTGCCCGCGTCACGTGGTGTTTTTGGCCTTCACTGGCGCCATGTCATCGTCTTCCCCGCGATTAGGTCTGGAGGTGACTGCCGAGAAGGGGCGGCAGAACTCCATCCTCTACGCAAGATCACCATCATCATTACAAGTCCCAAATTACAACATTTACTCTTCTTCTTCTTGTTTCTTCATCTCATCGGACGCGAGAAGCAGATAAAAAGAGAGAAAAAAGGGTGGCGGTGGAGGAGGGTGTGGGGGGGATGAAATGAAGAAGAGCTCCTGCTAAACCAGCGTGGTGAAGAGAGGAGGAAAGAGGGAGTAGGGTTGGGCGGTGGCGGTCTAGGACTCGAGCTGTGCATACCAGATGCCCTGGATCTTGACATCCTTGGCGGCCTTGGACCCGAGATCGGTGTCAGAGGGCTGGATGCTCTCAAAGACTCCGATGACCTCGCCGGTCTCCGGCTTGCTGCTGGTCACGCTGAAGGTGATGTTGCCGGTGCCGGAGGAGGAGTCCTTGATGTTCTCCTTAGCGAGCTCCTCCTCGTCTCCCCGTCCTCCGGCCGGCAGCGCCACCGCGTTGTCGTACCCTGCGGAGCCTCCCCTGCCCTTGGGGTCCAGGAAGGAGGAGCCCCGGTAGGAGGGCACAAGGAACTGGCCGCTGAAGCTCTCTGGCTTGCCGGTGGCCACCAGCTCCTTGATGGTGAAGAGGAAGGGCACCCGCTCCCCTCCGGGGAGCTGCACGGTGACGGCGGCGTAGTCGATGCCGTCCTTCTCCACGAACTTGACAGTGCCGTCCGACGCCACCTCGAAGGGGCCCTCGATCTCGTCGAGGGTGTAGGTGAGGCGGGTCATCAGCTTGGTCTTCTGGAACTCGGCTGGCGCGTTCTTGCTGACGCCCTCCGCCTTGACAGTGAAGGAGGTCGGCTCCAGGCAGAACTTCTTCAGGTTGTACTTGCCGGCCTTGAAGGGGAACGAGTTCACGCCGCCGTCGATAGTGGGGCACTGGTTCGCCGTCCCTGTTCCCTTCACCTCCATGTAGGTCTTGCTCTGGATCTCGTCGAAGGTCAGCCTCTTCGGCACTCCCTCCGCGTTCGCCCCGCCCTGCTCAACCACATCCCACCCACGGATGTTTCCAAAATCCAGTTAGATCAAGCTCCATCGTCGGCCGGATCTTATCAGCAGGGGATGGAAGGAAGGAAGGAAGGGGAGAGGGAGAGCTTACCGCGGCGACGAGGGCGGAGGTGGCGAGAGCGAAGCCGGCGATCTTGGCGGCGTCCGCGCATCTCTGTGCGAAGTCCTTCACGTCGTTCTGGAGGGAGCAGGTGAGCCTGGCGGAGGAGGGCTCGATGCCGAAGGCCTTGGAGAGGCCGCCCGGCGGCAGCGCCGCCGGCTTCCTCAGCTGGACGAACTTCGCCGGCTGCATCAGCGTGGCCGCCGCCTGTAAAGACGCCATTTTTTGATCCTCCTCGGGAGCTGCTCTCCTCTCACCTCCCGGCGCTCGTCGTCGTCTTCTTCCTCTTCTACCTTCCCACCCCCTTGCTTTCTTCTTCTTCTATTGGGTGGGGGGAGATTAGACGGCGGCCGGATTTCTGAGGATAAGGGATCTTATCCTATTCTCTCCTCCACAAGCCAGTGGCGCCTCCCCGTCCTCATGGCAGGGCCCGCCGCTAGGGGTCTGTGGTCGCTTCCCCTGCCACGTCAGCTGCTCCGCGATCTCCACTGCGGGGGGGGAACCAACGGGTACTGGGCCATCTTTTATTTGGGCCAGATTGGGCTCACCGCCGCATGCTGACTGGACTTGTTGGCCACCGAGTGAAGACGAAGAAGAGGAAGAGGGACCTCGGATGGAGGGATACCACTATAGCGACTGATGAATTCCCGCTGATATCTAGGTTTGTGAAAGGTGAGCTGTTTTCGCAGTGAATATTATATATATAGCATTAATCGAATATACAGTTTGAATCATTCTTTACGTCATTTATGTTCTGTACAAACTTGTCATGAACTCTATTTTCTTCTTTATGAAATAAAATTAATTACATTTTAAAATACTTTCAGGAAACAATGTAACAAGAAGAAAATAGTAGTAGGAAAGATCCATGGTGAATTAGTTCTAAACATTAGTTATATGTTGAAAGGGTAGTTGAGCTCTCCACAAACATTATTCTTAATGTACAATAAATTAGGACTTTATTAATGTTTAAGTAGAATCATCCATCATATTCTTTCCTTTATAAGATTCACCTAACATGCATGTTCATGAGCTGGCTATAGAAATTTTAAAAGAGTTTTATATCACAACTAGTAAGAAATTTATGATTGAAATATTATTAATTGACTTCAGAATAATTAGGGAGTTAACCTCAGTCATGTTGGGTTTTGTATGAGAAACAAAAAACTAAGAACAGAGGATGAATCAGTCATCTTTTCTAATGAGATCTTAAGATAAGAATGATTTTCAATGTAATTGATGACTAACAAAACAATCTATGATAGTGGATTCATTAAGAGTGATTAAGAATGTTAGTTAGAGTTATGCATGATATTATTGTGGTTCTACTCTCCTTTACAATACTTTTTAAGGTATTTATTTTATGCCATAAATATAAAAATCACTGAGAGGAATGAGAAAGGCCAAAAGTTGGAGACCAAGATGCCCTGTAAATGTAAAAAATGAGAACTGCAAAAGTTGGTGCAGGGTGCAAAGTGAGTTGAAGACGAAAATTCACATTAAAAGACCTAAAATTGTATAGATAATACATTGCCTTCTTAGGGCTATATTATTTTTTAAATGATCTGATTTTTTTTTGGGTGAGTGACATCACATGTCCACTTATTTAAAGGCTAAAATCTCCAACACACTCAAGATTTTTTTAGTGAAGAATCTTCTTCCAAATTCATAACTCTAGAGGACCAAATCAAAGGAGAATTCTTCCTATTGAAGATTTATGGGACTGAGATTAACATATGATAATCTTATTTAAACTGAAGCTATAATTGTCTTGATTATAATCGTACTCTAGAAGACAATGTACAACAAGTTACCATTCTTTTTGTTCATGCTCATACCTTCTTGATGCTTGATTTCTTATGGTTTATTGTATACAAAGTTCACATTTGGAATTTGGCTCTTGTCTCAACTGCTTTATGTTTTTAAGTGCTTGAACTTGATGTATTTGTTGGTCTCTATATTTCTTGTTGAGGAAAGTGTTCCTTCTATATTCAATAGTTTTCTTTTTATTTTTGATTTTTCAAATGAAGTTCTAATGGTTTAAAAGCTGTCTTTTTCTTGAAGTGACATGGGCCAATGTTAACTACCTATTGGGGTTTCTTTATCATGTAAAAATTACCAATATTATTGATAAATTCAGAAAATCTAGATATCACATTTCTCATTTACTTCATCTTAAATTTTCTATCCTCACACGATGGGTTTATTGGCACTCTATCTCCAACTATAAACATTTGCTATGTGTCACTGAGATAATTTTGTGTTTTAATGCAATGATTCAACAAAAAAAACTCAGCACTCTTGTAAGTTTACATGACTTGAAAAGGCTTACATTTGTGCACATCATCTCCATGTTTGTCAACATAGGTTGTAGAGTACTGAAGGACTAAATCAATGACTTCACATAGATAAAACTCATAAATATCAGCACCTCTCAGTAAAGATGTCAAGGTAAAGTCCAAACATGTATTCACTTTTTCTTCACAAATAGGGGATGTTGAGGAGATTAGGCAACTGCTCTCATGAAATGCAATTATTGGCTATCAACTTACAAATGTCTGTATCTCTCCTTCTGAAAGTTATATTTATTTTATTTTTAGTTATTCATTATTATATAAACATGCATTTGTAATAGGCTTATAATCAATCTAAAAGTTTAAATGGTTTTTAAAGATTACAAAAGTTGTTCTCTTTGTTATAGTTAATGCTATGTTGAATTTCATAGAATTGATGCTTTCTAGTTGTTGATTTTATACTTATTTATCTTTTTTTTAATTGATACTTTTAAAATTATATTTTCAAAAAAAGAGGAGATATTCTAATCCTTTGGCTAGTTAAGATTTTGAAGGTGCAACTTTTTTTCTTGCCTTTAGTGATAGTGAAGATAGTTTCTTAAATTTGAAGCCAAGAAATCAAGGATTTAACAACTTGGCCTCAAAAAGTTCTTCAACCAAGTGTTCCACTTTAAGCCTTCAAGAAGAGTTTATTCATGCCAATCTAGAGTTCTCAGTCTAAATCAGATTTGATGGGTGGTAATCTAGTTGGCTGACTTAAACCTATGAATTTAGAACGAATTAGTTGTGTGCTTATCCAATCCCCCCATTGAGTTGTGAATTTTGGAGAAAACAGTTGGGTGGTCTTCTGGTTGACCACATAGAACTATGAATCTAGAAGGGTTTTAAGTGAGTTGGTTGAGTTTTCTAGAAATGTTAAATCTAGTAAAGACTGGATGAAGCTTTTATGTACAGCGGAATCTTACTATGAAAAATTAGAACCTAAGAATAGTCTTTAAAAAGTGAAATAGGTCAAGTAAATCAAACCACTACAAATCTTATGAGTGAATAGATCTTCAAAGATTAATAAAAAATCTTAGAGATCATGAAATGTTAGATTCACCACTCTTGGTTTCTTGTGTTGTCATTATATATTCAACAACTCCATGTTTATAATAACCACATTAAAATGTAGCAAGTTAACAAATAGGAAAAATGTTAAAATACATTTCAGATCATTTAATGTTTTACTCACATGGAGACATTCATGGATCATTTACTACTTGATGTCAATATAGTTAGAGCTGTTTTGTTATTGCATGAATATTTGAAGTATTTTTATCAATTTGTTTTTTTTAAATGAACACTATGTAGACCTATATACATATATGCAGAACAATGTAATCATCAGATTCAAAGAGAGATGAAAAACACATATAGCTGGTATTGAGATTGCGATTTGAGTCAGATTCTTATATTTCATTGACATGTCGGAATTTGAGTTCAATATGGTTCCTTTAATGGATTAGACAGAAAAAATTATGGTTGCAAATGAAACCATGCATCCAAACATATGACGAGAGGCATGATCAGCTGCATGTCTCCCATCTTTTTATGGTAAATAATCAAGCCTTAAAAGCAAACCATTTGCATTGTTATAACTTCAATCAAACCATAAAATCATGACTATAAAATTTGACTTTTTAAAGTGGAATATTGTTAATTGGAATGGAGAATCTAAAAAGTCCCTTCCAGGGAACTAAAAACAATATTAGTCAAATAAATGGTGATGATTTAGACACTAATGAGATTTACATGTACCTTAAAATCATCAAATTTTATTAAGAAAATCCCCTTTGCTCTGAAATATATATGGACTAACCAGTAAGAGTGGCACGATTGGAGCAATTGTCAAGCTTTGATATGGGTCTAACCTTTTTACATCTACAAGAATATGAAGTTTGGCACATGAACTAGCCACGATCAAGTGTCAAGTCATTACACTTCCAATTCACGATATGAAGCTTGATTTCGCTAATATGGTTCCAAGCAATAACGGGTACGCTGATATTGAAGGACTGCATAGGCGGAGATCCGACGATATGAAGTTTCAGATCTATGAATGGGTGGCTTAAAGCCATTCCCAGCGCGTTATCTGAACGAACCCGGTAAGGTGTGCTTCCGAAGCTTTGCTCTGCCCCGCCAAATCCCGCCCCGAGATTGTAAGGGAAGCTTCCAAGGTCTCGGCCGAGGTCGTCATTCAGACAGGCCGTGGGGACATTCGAAGCGGGAGACCAAGAGCTCCTCCCTACCGGGCTCGTCTACAAACTGAAAGGGTAAGGCGTGTCAGCGCTTACTACGACTCTCTCCCTCTCTCTCTCTCTCTCTCTACAACTCTCTCTACAAATCTCTCTTAGAGGGAAGGAGCAGGGTCTAGTCGACGACGCTGGTGCTGCTGGCCCGAGTCGCCCCCGAACTCGTCCCTCGACGACGGCTCCGCTCCCTGAGGAAAGACATAAGAAGAAAGGTCAAAGCCGGGGCGATTCGAAGAACGGTAAAGTCAACGGCTATTGATACGCGAGCCTGCCGTCAACCTGGTCCGCCCCAAACACCAATTAGGCCCGGAAGCATCCAACGTACGTCCTGCGTCCTTCCCCTGACGGCGACTTTCTTCCCCGACGGTTCCAACCTCTGGTCACCTCAAGATCCACAGTTTCAGGCTGGGCATCGAGCTCACAAGCTAACAACGCACCTCCGGTCAGCAGAGAAAGACCCCCCAAATATTACAAGTCAAAGGCGCAGTGGACGAACAACAGCCAGCCCACATGCACCGGAGAGACATCGCGGCTTATCTCTTTCTCTCTCTCTCTCTCTCTATAGTAGTAGCAGTGCACAGAGACCCACCCTTTTCTTTAATGAAGACAGCTAGATCTGGTACAGAGTGCCTACTACATCAGCATGTATACCTTACAACACGAGGATGCCGCCAGCTTCTCGTTCATAGGGGGATTGGCTATAAATCAGGGGATGATGGGTCAAGTCCGTTGCCTTACCCTTCGGCCGGGGGTGTCGCCGCCGTCGGAGAGCTGGCCCCAGACGCTGCGGCTCTTGCCGCCGCCGCCGCTGCTGCACTCCTCCTCGCAACCCGCCACCGTCTTCAGCAGCTCCGACTGCAGCGACGGGCAGTTCTCCTTGAGGTACTCGAACCCGGTAGACCGCATCACCGCTGCGCATCCACCATACACCACGCCATCTTTTCTCAGCACGACGGGGAGCACACCAGAACACAGCAAATAAAAAGGACCGTCGGCATCACGGATTGGGCGGGCCTAGGCCAACTTAATACCATTTATTTTTTTCTCAAGTAGAAAAGTCGTTATAGACAGCAAGTCCGAGGGTTGGATTTGGGTGGAAGCAGCCATCTCCTCCTACCCTAACTACTTACTATTCCTTGGATACTTGGAGAATGTCATGGTTTCATCCAAGCAGCATACAGTGGCAGCACCGGAGGAGGCTTGCTTTACACACAAGCTTCTTTCAGGGGGGGAGTTTTGTACCAAGAGAAGCAAGAATATTTCAAAGAAAAGAGGAGGGTGATGGATGTGTTAAGTTTGTTAAGTTTCAGCCATGGGGGGAGGGAGGCTCGGGTAATATGAGGTTGTTGGTTTCTCGGGTTGGACCTACGGCAAGTTCCTTGGGACAGTGATGATGCACAGAGGGCTCCTTTTTCCTTCACTTTTTCAGTTTTCGACTAACCACACGCTCCCACAGACTCCCTTTTTACTGATAATTTGACCAGTAAATACGCCTCATTGGAAAAGGAGGAAAACGAATGATGTCATTCAGGCAAACAGGAAGAAACAAGGGACGGAGCAGGGCATATAAAAAGAAGTATCTAATTAATGACAAATAGCAGAGGGGAGCGGGATTAAAACCCTTTTTCGTTTTTTGTTCTAAACCGAAAGAGTCTCACTACTAATTTCTGAGCTGAAACCACTACATATGCAGATGCATTAAAAATTATTGGGATTGCAGATGCTCTTCCCCAGTTTCATATGATGCTTCCCCGGAACACCAATCCTCTGGTATAATAACTAGACCTAAACCATAAAGAAAACATCTTTTCAGCCCAACCCAATATGCCAAGGCTGCCCAAGTGACATGTCAAACAAAATACTACAGAAAAGGGGCCAAAGAAACTCTAGCTGGTATGAGGATTTTTGTCTAGTGAATTAACAGCAATGATGGGAGGGAGGGAGGGAGGGAGGGAGAGAGAGAGAGAGAGAGAGAGAGAGAGAGAGAGAGAGAGAGAGAGAGAGAGAGCAAGTCCATGTATCAACTTGCTTTAGAAATGAAAGTGAGGCGTATATTGAACACACTACCACCTTCAAGACAACACTCTTCTCTCCATGCAGGAACACATGCAGGCGAGCAAGGATTCCAAAGTTAATGAAGAGGTCCTAGAAGTCATACATATCCATAACTGCATTGTATAAAATAGAGTAATCTTCTCAAAATGATAAACTTCAAGGAGCTTCCAAATGTTTACCTGCAAGATTCTCAGCTGCGAATTTTAGGCAGACAGCTCGAAGCTCCAAGGCATGATAACGATCTGCCAATGCAAGTGTACTAGCAACCGAATTTACAGATATATCCTTGCAAAGGTACGACTCACACAGCAAACGGAGCCTTCCCAAATCGTATTTGTCTGCTGCAGCTAATAGCTTTGCCGTCAGTGAGTCAGATATAAAAGAGGTAGATGGTATGTTTGAGGAAGCCAAATCCTCTTCCAAAAGAGTGTCCGTATATATAAAATGCAGCATTGCCTGACCAAATCACATCATAATATTATTAGCCAAAGATTAATCATGATCATCGAAGAAACAATAGGGAATTCAGAATAATCGCACCTTAAAAACTTTGGGATCCAGGTCACTAATGACAACTTCACTTTTATCATCTCCCGGTGAATCAAAAAACTCAGATCGAAATATAGGAGATCGTGCAGCCAACACCAATTTGTGAGCATGAAACTTTTCACCAGCTACATCAAATACAACATCCGATCCTTCTTGGTTATCCAAAAGCATGCCAAAATGATCGCCAATGTCAGATTCAGGAATGTATATGGAATGCAATCTGGAGCAATCCATAGAGGATACTACGACACCAACAGTGCAATTTATTTTCAAGCAATCATCCTTGAGAAAATCAGATGTCTCAAGTGCAGCTCGTCTGAAAAATCTTTTATAGCCCCTATTTAAAAAATAAACAAGTTAGCAACAAAGCACATGATAGAGCTGGTTGATTGGAGAGGTAAGTATTTCAGATATCAAAAAGTTGAAGAGTATTTATTTCATGTATCCATAATCATAACCGGAAAAACCCCATAAATTTCTCACTGTGGATACCGATATTTTATTGAATATAGGACAGATATGATACACACTTATGACAAACAATGAGTCATCACATAGTTCTTCTGAGAGGGTGACATTCCATGGAATTCTATGAAACGCAATAGCACACAATAAGACAGCGAATTCATCAGTTAAATTTCGAAATATTATAGAGCCTTATGCTCTAAGAAAAACTTCAACAAAAAGCAAACATTTCGAAATAACTCATACTTCAACGGAAAAATTATACACAATCTGGGGTACACCTTGAGAATCCCTCAAGATCACTCTCATCAACACAATCTTGGGCGTAATATGGAACTATATTTGCTGAGATTTCTACACAGCTGTTGTCCGGTTCAAAAGGGACAAAATTTCATTAAGAAAAAATACAGAAGAGACTGCACAAATATTCCCCTTCAAATCTGCACAACTTTTTTCAGATTCTTGGTATCACCCAATTAGAGACTCGCTTAATCTCAACTTCATGCTTTCTTTTTCCTTCCAATCAGGAGAATAAGCCCTGCCGGCTCCAGCAATTAATGCAAGGCACCATAATTCACCGTTCATGCAAAGGTTAGTACCATACTACAACAGAAGAACTACACAAAACGAAAAAATAATAAAAATTTTACAATTGAAATGGAATGAAAAAGGAAACTATTATTGCATCTCCACAAAATCATAAGCAACGATAAAAAATAAGCAGAATAAAAATCAAATAAGCAGTTAACCAAATTCAAATATTTAAACTTTACATGATTCATCATCAACACAGCAATTTGATCCAGCATTGTTCTAACCAATTCAGATCTGTGCCACTGAAATACAATGAAGAATCGACTTCTCAAAATCCCTTGAAAACGATAAACCTATTCGTGACCATCATCAAATACTTCATCCACTTACATCACATACAAAACCATGAAAAAATCCTTGAATGAGTTCCACTCACGGAAAGAGAAAAAAAGCAATGTCTTGAGACGCTCCTGAAGGTTGTTCAACCAGAGGGCATTGACAATATCTCCTAAATCACGTATAGCGGAAAACATCTTTCATTAGACTGAGTCCCATACGAGCACAATTTAAAATTACCTTCCATAAAAGACCACACACAACCTTTGGTGTAATGAAACCCCACAGAAAACTTACTGAAGGTATCCTGTACTAACATTATTCAAAGAGAATTCTATGTTCAGAGAAAATATGGACGGTGACAAGTTAAATTTCAGGTGACAAATAACAGGCTAAAATTCATGCAAGACGCCTGCTCACATTAACAGAACTTCAATACTGTGCCAGGTTTAAGTATAAATTTATCCAAGAACATTGTGGCTCATTGCTCCTCTCGAAAGAAGCTATAAAGAAAATCGCAGACAAGGGTAAAAATTTGGAATTAGCACAGGTTCACCACCGAGAACAGCCGGCTGAATTCTTGTTTGGTCCCCTACTTTGTTACCCTGTCTAGGCCCCACACTAATAGTCTCAGCTTTGTCAGGGAAAGCAAAAATCGTGAAACAAATCGGAGCCATAATGGCATTCGGATCAAATCAAAGCCACTAGAGCCACGATACGATGTCCAAAATATGAAATGAAGGGTCATTTCAAACCAAAGTATGAGGCCATGTTGGCCTAAAGCATAGTAAAGTACATAATTCAACTTCCCATCCTCATTAATAGAATCAACATAACCCGGTATGTAGGGGACGATAAGCAAATCAGCGCCATATGAACTTCTATCATTCAACAAACCTAACAATTCTTAAGGGTAGGCATTGTATTGAAAAACTTGGAGCCATAAGTCAGATCTGTCGTTCGGAAAACAGGGTTATTCGCTGGCCAAGGGCAGTAGGAATTAATTAAGAGAGGGAAAAATCGTTTATATGGACGGAAATATTACCACATGCTGCCCCGGTACTTGAGGGTGTAAGGCCCGCTTTCCAAAGACCGATCAAAATGGCTGTGCACCTTGTGGTTGCCCTTGCCGCTCTGATCCACGAGAGTGAGTTCAAAGAGCGCCCGCACGTCTGTTCCCTCGCTCGCAAGCGCGATGAAAACCGAAACATACGTTGAGTTATCCTCGGGATTCTTGCCGTCGGGATAAAAGTACACCGCCCACTGAAACCCCCCGACCGTGAAGGTGTCGCTCGCGATATGCTTCCCAACTCCCATCCCCTTAGCCAGGGAATAACCCTGGATCACAAACTTATGGGAACCGTTTACCGTCTCCGTCACCGACCGGGAGCTCGTCGGTGACATCGCCAGCCCCATATCATGCGGGGGAAGGGCCATCACATGCGGCGCCGGTCTCCAAAGCACGGTCCCCCAGTGACGCTCGTTCTCATGAGAGCGCCTCCCGCAAGAACGGCCGGACCCCTCGGTTCAGTACGGCACAGGGAAGATACCTGAGAAGCGCGGATTTCTCCTCACCAAGACGGCCGGATATCTGTGATGAACCTGCTCCAAACTCCGGCGATCTCCACGACGCGAGCAATTGGCCGGGCCCAGGTTTAGGGTTCCCCAGCACCTCCCCTCCCACCCTCCTTTCTCCTGTCTTTCTCTCTCTGGTGGATTTCTTGTTCTTGAGTCCACCGCGATCTGCTCCGTTTCTTTATAGGGGGCCCGGTGTTTAGGGGAGCGGGGGAGAACGGAACGGGGTGGCCAAGTTTGACCTCATCGGATCCACCGTGCCCGAAACTAATAGGGATCCGAACGGACGTCATCGCATCCGGCTCACGTTTGGGGGCGCTTTCGGGGATTCCTCCCCTACGGCCTTGTGCGCGAAAATCCCCGTCGGCGCTTCCGAGCCCGGATTCCTCAGGAAACGGTACCAAGTGGGCCGGGCGCAAAACTTCAACTGGAAATTGTCGTCTCTCAACGTCTTTAATGGATAAAATCAGGGATTCAAGGGCAACCCTGTATTATTATTTATGTACTCAATAGCTTGGATAATAAATTAAAATAATTAATCATTCATTTTAATAACGCATAGTACGATACCCAATTCCTTTTTAAAATATATTTTTTCTCTGAAAATTCATTTTTATACTAGTTTTTCTGCCCCCTACAATTATTTTAATAGCGTGATAACCAATTTTGACATGTTCAAAATGTCAACGGGTAAGAGGGCCACTAGCAGTAGAATCTCCCCCCTCTAATCATCATAAATTTAGGGGTTGACCGATTCATCATCGCCCTAACTTTCTCATTATTTTTAATGTCACGTCCATAGTAATAACAAATGAACTCTTCAGATAATCTCTTTATTTTAATAGTAACATCAAGATCGCCGCTTCCCTCGTAAACAATTTTTTGACCTTGACACGGTTGATAGTTGACTTTTTCTTGTCAACGATGAGACAATGGAGCAAGCCATAAAAGATTCAAGATTTGCGTCAAACTGACAGATCCTACTTCCACGAAGATGGTGATGAACTCCAAAGACTCTAGACCTGGGTGGTTAGCATTTATACACAGTGGTTCCGACCCGGTGTTTCCTAGTGAGACATGAAGCGACCGAAGAAGCCAAGCCTGTCCTCACCCTCCCCGACGGTCGTCGCCTCCGAGGAGTCCGAGCTGCTCTCCACGCCGTCATCGGAGCTCTGCTCCGGCGTGAGGTGGATTCGGTGGGCGTTCTCAGCGATCCAGTTGGAGAAGTCGGGCGTCGAGGCCAGCTCCGCGAGGGCCTCCCGGGTGGACTCACGGGTGAAGCTGTCCCACTCATTCTTGGAGAACCTGTGCCGCGTGGGCGTCCTGTGAAAGGTGGAGTAGTAGTCCACCTGCCGAGCGCCCCTTCTCTTGCCGGGCGTCGAATATATCAACGCTGAAATGCCCAAAGGAGATAACTTTTTTGAGGATTCACACACATACACACAGTTTGCGCATGAAAGCATGTAGATATGGATTTAATATTCTAGTTGATTTCGGAGTCCTGATGTTCATAAGAACAAGCCTGAAATAGGGAATCCCAGGGATTATTCATATCCTATAAACTATTTAGATGAAGATAAACTTAAAATGCTGCGGCCTTTGCTGAAGCGTGTGTAACATGGGAGAAGAAGACTGAAATGCACATACCTTTGGTTGGGGAGCCAGACCATGCATAAGGACTATCAGGGCTGGTCAGAAAAGGCTTCCTAGAGCCTCTCTTAGGAGAGCGGCTCAGAAATTCAGCTCGCCTGCGGTTTAGCTTCCTAGTCTCCAGTTCCCATATATTTAAATTCGCTGAATTTCCCTGATTTCTGTAATGGGTAACATCGCCAGAGTTTTCTCAGATAATATCTCTTGTGAGCTGGGAACTTGGGAAAGCAGAGGTATGCTGGGACGTTGAACTTACCCCGATCTTAGCCAACGGCTGAACAAAGAAATTGCAGAGCGCACACTCCAGAAAAGAGCCAGTGTCGCCACTGCTAGGACGGAATCGAGAGTGCTCTGGCATGAAAAAAGCATCATAAACGCAGTGGCGTGCTTTCTACGTTAAGAGGAAAAGACTACAAGAATATTTCGAAGCAAAGCCGTACCATGCACTTCTGCAGACCAGAGCATCTCGACAGAGAGGAACGAAAAACAATAAAATTCCCAACATAAGACTGCAAAGACCAGATAAGCCGAACTTCTCTTTCCGAATTTAATTTTCTGAACGATTAAATATTTTAAAGGATATGCATTATCATTATGCAACATAGTACTTAATACGCCTTATGTTCTCCATTACGTCCTACATTCCAGTTTCGTGATCCAGCCTCTAACACCTCTTTTTCTTTGCTAAAACAGAAACATGATCATATCAACGTCTCTTTTCAAACAAAATTCACATACCCCTGTGCAAAAAAATGTACACGATCATTTTTAGAAATATCCTATAAAGTATTCCGAGATATTGATTTAAATTAATCACACACAAGGTACCATTGCAACTTGCGAGAAATTTCGGATGAACAATGGGTTGAACAACATCAGACGAACAATAAGTTGAAATTTTAGCCCAGAAGAAAATCCGAATGCAAACCAAAATCTAAACACCTTTCATGTTTCCACCATTAATAATTTTTAATAATGCTGGTTACCACGAGACAGAAGAATAACAATAGGCAAAACAATTAGTAAGAGTTTATTTTATATTAAACCTAAAAATAAAGAACGCTAAATAGAAGTCTACCTGAAAAATAAACACAACGCCAAAGATGCGCATAGCCCACTTTACAAATTGTGCAATTCCAGCATCCACAGTGCCATCCTCAGAAAGGACAAATTTGCGCACTACCCAGTACCCCAGAGCAGCACCAGCAAGAGTAATTCCAACTAACAGAAAAACAGAAACCTGCAACACAAGAAGAAAAGAGACATCAGCAAGAGTAATTTTCTTCGGTGGATCCCCTCTTCAGCCTGTTTAATTTCTTTTGGTTCCTAAGTTATTTCTATGTCACCTTCTTCCTCAATTTACTGACTTTCCACTGTTTCTGAGATTCTCTTCTTCTTTTCAGTAATAATAGGTATCCTGCCTAAATAGTATATACATGCAATAAATAAGAGAATACTAATTTTCGCGCCAGAGAACTTCTCAATTCTGAAATAAGCTCCTTATTAGATTGAATGGAATGACTGTGCTGCATCCAGAATAATACTAAGCCAACGCACTTAATAAATAAAAACACTGACCAATTAACCAACCAATAAGATTAATTTTTTCAAATAACATCTTGATGTTGCATCGAAACACATAAATGCAAAGATATACATCATCTAAAAATCAATCATATAATTAAACAGAAGAACATTTCTATCGCCATAATAATATAGCAAATAGTTGGCACACATGGCAATGGTACCGTTTCTTTCACTCATCCAGCGTAGAAGGTACGAAAGTGAAAAAACAAGACCAAAGTTGGAATCCGTTGACTTACTGGATTATGCATCTCTTCATCGAGCCCAAAATTCACTAAAATCGAGTTGACCACCACTGAGAAGTAATGCACCAGAAAAGAGCCAGCACCAAGCTGAATACACAAAATAAAATAAGTTCCTGAATTGTTGCTCTAAATAACAACTGCCAACGTTACCAAAAGAAAAAAGACATTGACGTAACACAGAAGAATATGCTTACAATTGATCCATAAAGTGTAAGGTACAAGAAACTTTTTCTTCCAGTTGGTAGTAACTTCATCCCCTGTGTCAGAATGAGAGGCCAACAAGAGTTGATTAAACGTAGGAATAAAACTTATGACAAGCCAGTAGATTCAGTTGAATAACCGTTAAATTCAGCACAGACTACAGTGCATGTATTTGCATCTTTCAGCCTTCATATATCGGATGCCTCACTCGCACACTATACACTGCACTACATTATATCTTTATACATTATATAAATGTATCCTCAAAAAATTCTGAATTGTGGACACATCTGTACTCTGGACACTGGCATGATTCCAAGTATTGGCATCAAACCAATACTGATTCATACAAGCTAAATCTCCAGATCGACAATTGCCACATCAAAAATTAGCATGGCTGAAGCTGAAGCAGCTCCTTTCGAAGTAATAGAAGGAAAAACAAGTGGACTGGGAGAGTCAAAGTCGAAACGAGGATTCCTCACTTCTTTCTCTAATTTAAAGACGTGCATGAGACTTTCATCTCGCATGGGCAAAACATACAGAACCTATTTCCACTGACAAGGAAACAGCTAATACGTAGACATCACATACATTCATTTTTCCAATGTAGTCGACCAAAATAAAATGTGAACAACAAAACAAGGCATATACGACAATTTTAAAAATGACAGGAAACTAGGCCACGTACCATAAAATATCAGAAAGTCTCCTATTTGATCTGAAAGTACTCTATAAGACTTTAGATGGCGTTGCCAGATAATATGAATGTAGACGGTAGTTAGCACCCCAATTACGACAAATTCAAAAATCTTATCCACCTATTTGACTATAGTTTTCACAAAATCGTTTTGAATGTCCACCAGGAAGGACAGATATTTTGACAGTTGCCTCGGGAACTGGGATATTTTTCTACCACCCCAGTTAATGTTAATTATATACTTTGTTGAGGGAACTCAGATGATTACATACATACAAGTGATGCCTTTGAAAAAAACGAAACAACATGTCAAGGAGCCCATGCTCTTGCTAAACAAGATAATCTGTACCATTTTCACAAAACGAGGGTGTTAGTTATAAGTTATTATCTATATTCTTCTTGCTCTGTTAAAGCTCTGCTATTATGTCGTTTTCATGAATTCTATGTCTTTCATAATAACCTGAAACTTTCTGCAATTTTTACAAAATTTGTATACATTTAAAATATTGAAATTCTAATGTACTGTTTTGACAATGGACTATTTTAAACTAAGAGGTTTTCAGGGTGGAATTATAAAACTCTGTTGGTTTTTAGTCCGAGGACACTGCTCGAGTAAGGCTCATACCTTGGCAGTTATGGACTTTTATTGTTCTGTAAATTTTTAGATTTCACGTCACCATGCAGACTTGGCATATCCTTTATTTCTTGGAAGTGAGATAATAGCGATAGCAATCCTGGGAGTGCCTAAGAACAACACTGGCAGAGGGAGCAACAAAATCATTCTAGAAAAAAAAGTTATTCATGGCCTAAATTGAAGCCTTCAGTAGGTTAGAGCATTCAAGAAAAAGTGGAATGCCATTTGAAATAACATCTCATTTTCCCCGATGGCCCCCTTTTCTGACTTCCACTTCTAGCTTTCACTTCCACAATCCCTAAATTGGCTGGTGCTATCCATAATGCATGGTATAGATCCTGCGGCATCATAATCACCCCCTTCTGGAACAATTGACCCCTATCTCGCCTCTTTTCATATCTACTTTCTCCTATGAAGCTTTATAAAATATTCTACTTTCTTAGATTCTCCTCTCATGTAAACCCAAGGTTCTGTAATCTCTTTTTTAAAAACAGTCCTCTCTTCTATACATGGGTAACTGGGGGCTTTCGGCTCTCGTTTCCACCACCAAGGCTAACTAATTGTGCATAGTCTTGACCCATTTGAGCCAACCATGTGAAGCCTCCTTACCTTGCAACAGACCCAACTAGGCAGAGACAACAGTGGCGATGGATGCCATCAGTGAGTGCCTCCTTTGAGAGTCCTTGCTGGCCCCCCTTCAAAACGGCCACTAAGAGATTAGGAGGCCACCTGTTGGTGTCCAGTTGGAGGACCGTGGCAATGGCAGTCAGTCATCATCACCTTCCTTCTTCAGGCGTCCCAGGGATATGCTCTGCTTACAGCAAGCCCTCATTAATCTACCTAAGGAGGTCACTAATGACCATTGGAAGTCATAGTAGCTGCCCCCTTGTTGGTATGCTATGATTCTCGCAGGCTTGGCATTCAAATAATTCTGTTTTCTCCAATAGTGAGAACATTTTGACAATGCAGCCTTCTCTAATTTGAAGTCATTTCAAGAATTATACTTTCTCCACAGTTGGAGCCACAGAATTCTCTTCTCTCCAACAGTGGGGCATACCAAGGAATTTGCTTTGTCCAGCACTAAGGTAATTTCGGAAAGCTGCCTGTCGCTTTTATGGTTAATGCACTTGAAGATTACCCTCTTTTATTGAGCAGCGACCAGTACCTGGAGGTCACCTCCCCCCTCTCTTTCAGACACACTGTTGGATATCCCCATAAAAGTTGAAGCTCATGCATATGGAAGCATCACGAAGAAAAAAAATATCGAGTTCAATATCAGATTAATCAACCGGGGATTCAATTAGGGCCCAAAACAAGAAAAATGTTTTGAACTCTAGCTGACTTGTGTGTTTCTAAACCAAAATCCCTTGAGAAGACTTTGAAAAAGCGACCAAAAACAAATGCTTATCTAAATCAGAATCTTGTAAACGCTGATCCAGTGTATAAATAAAACAATGACCAAGAAAACTAAGCATAGACGTACGGCCATATCAAGAAAGGGATCAATCGCAGCAATCCAACATGTATTTGAAAATGTTAATATTACTGGATCACAAGACCATATACATGGTTCCCTTAAAAGTATCCGGGTAACTCTGCAGTTGCATCTATCTAATTTGCGTCAAATCAACATAATTTTCATACCAAGAATCATGCAAGGAATATTACCTGAAACAGAATAATCAAAATGACAAGAAGAACCCCAAGAACCATGGAACTGCTGTAATAAAATGGCACCCAACTGCTGACAATCGGAGCCAGTACCAGAAGAGTAAATCCAAAAGCAAGGGAAATGAGACGCCACTGCTGAAATTCTGAAGAAAAAAAATTACGTAAGTAATAGGAAGAGTGATTAATATTTACCCAAATATAGTAGGTAACATAAAATCTCAATATTCAACGAAAAAAAGAAGAAAATGCCACTTACCCTCTTCCAAAGAAATTGTAATGGAACCAGATACTCCACTGGCGAATTTGACATCAAGATATCTATCTCCGTAAGGTGACATAGTAGCAGCCCATTGTCCATTTTGGAGAGCACTCCAATCATCTTTGTTGCATTGGCCTAATCCTAGAGAAGCATTCCTGCAGATATTTTACAGTGAAAGCTAACTCTCAATTGCTGCTTTCCAATCAAAGAACTTTTTACAAGAAGAACTAAAAAAGAACGCAAGGAAACATGAATCAAAAAAGCAAAATAATTCTTACCCATGAAAGCAAACCTCCAGCTTGCTATGATACCTTTCGGGTATATCATCAGAAGCCTTTACTATGATGTGAAAAGAACTCGGATAGCTCCTGATCTTAATCCTTGATAGGCCAACAACATGAATTCTCTCAAAGGATAAACTTTCTCCATTGGCTTGAACTACTATATTTCCATCAATTCGTAATGAAGTGAACCCATGGATTGGATTATCTAGATTGATTTCTGCTAATTTGATGACACAGAGAAAAAAAAACAGGTTAACGGCATTCATAAACTTAATGAAAGGAAAAAATGATGAAAAAATGTACTATGCACTTTCGCCATTATTAATATTTAAAAAAAAACGAAGCATTCCTATCATTTATATGGGGAAAATAAAGAAAGGAAATCATTTAACATAAGCATTACAGAATGAAACAAATGATTGGATGGCATAAGCTGGATTCCATTATTTTTCATGAGAAAAGAGGGAGAGATAACTGCAAAATTGAGGAAGAAAAAATAAGTAACAGAATATATTTAGGATCACTAGTATATTCATTTTTTTCAGCAGATTTTTTCCAGCAGTAGGTTGAGTTTCGAAGGTTTGTTTTCCGTTTAGATAGAGGCAACCTATGGATGAATGCAATTTTTTTAATTTCGCATTAAATATATTGATCTCCACAAAGCGACTCTCCGCCATCAGGATTCAAGGGTTTTCTTGCAAAGTTGATGAATGGCACTTCACAGGATTTATTTCAGGTCAACACGTCATCTCTTTTTCCCATTCTGCCTTGAATCAAAAAGACAGTGGAAAAATACCGTTGAACAAATACTGCTTTCCAAACACATTGATGTGCTCTCCAGATAATGCCGGACAAAGGGATCTGGTAAGAAGTCATCATTAGGAACTCACCCCTTCTGTGCCATTACCTTGCTGAGGTATGAGAACTGAAATGCCTCACCTGCTAATCAGAGATACCTCTACAGCTCTACTGTTCGATAAGATCAGTGCCACCGACTTTGACGCAAACGAAAAAAAAAGAATTCACCTTAGACGATGATTTACATATCGGCTACTGCAAGAGCCAGTGACAACAGTGTCAACGTTAGTCACAGTCCTGAGAATATTAAATGACTATTTCAGTTCCCATCCGACTACAAGTACTGTCATCTCTAAATGATCAACGCTAAAAAGAGTGATTTAATATTCCCAGTATTTAGGACGTTTATTTTGTTCTACTAGAGTTGTTGAGGAGTTATTTGAATTCATGGAGCAACTGCAGTTATGGGTTAAATATTTGATTAAAGGAATGTATTTCATTGTGATGTGCCTGTCGCTGAGTTCCTCCAAAAAAGGCCAGAAGTTATCGACTGTTTTGAAAGCCACGGCTCGCCAAATCACCCATCTAAAGTCTCGAAATTATTGTGATACAAACTAAAAATAATAACAGAGCTCCTGTGGCGTACTCAAATATGAAATTCATCGACCTCAAACAAGTCATGATCAGCTAGGAAAATAACCCTAGAATTCTACAAGCAAATAGGCTCAGAACATTCAGAGACAAAACGAGAACCAACTGGTCTCTAAGCTCACAAAGAAAGACAGAATAGAGAACGAAGAAGATGAAATCTTCCTGATCTGCAAAGAGAACAAGGCGGCCGTTGAGAGCGAAGTCAAACAAACAGATTCGTTACCTCTCAGGCCAACCGCAGACTCCTCCCCATGGGAGAGGAGGACGAGAGCGGAGAGGAGGAAGCACGAGACGAGAGAAGCAGTCGACGACATTGAACCCGCTCTCTCCCAACCTCCAGGGGCCGGGAAGAGGCGACCGCTTTCTTGCTCCGGCGCGCGACCGCTTGCTTCGCTAAATCTAAATGGGTGAGAACGAGACTAGTAGCAAGTCGGCACATTGGACAGAAGCATACCGTTAGATTCGCATTGGACGGGTGACGATCGTTTTGAGGAAATAGTTCCGTGCGAGCTGCGTGGGGCCCAAGGATCTTGAACCGAAATAGACCCGGGCCCACCTCTCTCTTACATAAAAACCCTACTAAAGAAGATTAATATCGTAGATATCCTATATAGGATTCCCTATACGATTTACCCTTAAATGAACCAATTCGCATCACAACAAAAGCTCCAGCCCGGTAATAATCCCGCAAAACTCTGAAGTAGGAAGATTTTTCGTAAGTAATAATTTATGTAAGGTTTTTTTAAGAAATATACACTCTCCATCCGCGTCAACTTTCTCAGGTCGCTGCGGCACTTCTCATGGTTGCCCTCCACTGTGGAGCGCCACGTCGACCAATCAGGATTCGGCAGGAGGGTGCAGTTTCTTGCACACAGAGAGGGAGAGAGAGGTGGGGTAGGGGGGTTGCCTCGGGAAGTGGCAAAGGTGGAGGAGGAGAAGAAGATGAGCAGAGCAGGCCGTCGAGGAGCTCAGGATGAAGACGGAGCTGCTGGCGAAGATGCTGGACGACTTCGACCTCCGCTGGGAGAGGGAGGCGGACGAACGCCGCAGGAAGCAGACCGAGGAGATCTAGAAAGGAAATGAGGAGACGAGGAAGAAGAAGGATCAGCAGAATAAGAAAGAGAAGAAGAGCGAAAAGAATCGGTCACTAAGTTTCACGAACGGAAAAGAAGAGGAGATGAGAGGGAGCGAGAGAGAGAGAGAGAGAGAATCGGTCTGGTTATCTGTATGCTGGGGCCATACTTGACCTTGGTCGGAATGACCTTTACTCAAACTATGGGGCTGACAAGGATGGAGTTATTACTAGGACCAACACCGACAGAAGAGGGAACAAGAGGGTGATTAACATAGAACGAGAGAGAGAGAGAGAGAGAGAGAGAGAGAGAGAGAGAGAGAGATAGGAGAGGGCAAACCTGTCTCCATACTAACTTATTTGAGATGGCTAATCTCAACCCATCTTTGTTTTAGTTATTCATTCACCTCTCCTTCCATTGGGATAATGTTTGCTGCTATTTGACATTTGACTTTTCTATGCGTCGGTTAAGTCTACTTTTTAAAGTGGACGAGATACGGATAAAAGTATCTCATCAATACTCTCCCACTAACACTTTCAGTTTATCCTCAAGGTGAAATTTTAGAAACTATAATTAAATGATGTGAGCTGACACTCACATGACTTTTGTATTTAAGAGGTATTTTCATTTGACTAAAGCCTCCTGCACATGTGATCCATGTCAAAGGGCGAGGATGGTTAGAGGTTGTACAACCTATTAGAGGTCATCATCTAACACCAAGGGATTGACAAACCTTGACGAGGTTGGTGCCTTTCTTGAGCTGCAACAAGTAGAACACCAGGTGAATATTGCATGAAGACAATAGGTCTAGTTGGTATGTGATAGTCTAATACTCTCCATAACCTTAAATGAACTGAAGTAATTAGTGTGATCTTCTCATATGGCCATGATATTAAAGACTTAAGTCCATGCAAGCAGAATCGAAGGTAGATATGAAGGTAGTTGAGGTCACATCAGAATGAAAGGTAGATGGAGTCACCTTTTGTGAATTAATTCAAAAATTTACCTTTGATTCTACTTTTAGTGACTTGAGTCTATAATATCATGGTATTAATCAAAGGTAGATGCAAACAAATGTCAAATCAACTATGTTGTCACTCAAGTTGACTAAGGACTTGAGACATATCTACATTGCTTCACTAGTGAACAACTCTACCAATAGAGCAAAAGATTAACCTAGATAACATTTGGGTATAACATGAACTTCAACTCTTCTATAAGTACTTCATCATTTAAAATCGTGTATAGATGAAATCAATTACTCTACCCTCAATGTAATCTGATGGATGAGCTTGAGTAGCAACTTTGCAAATAAGATCTTCAACTTGACCGACTCAAGCAACACCTCACTTAAGACCAAGCTCAAATGAAGTCCTACATCAACTTAGGATGTTTAGTTCACAAAAGGTGACATCATCTACCTTAATTCAAAAATATTCAAAAATAATAAAAAACAAAGTCATTGCCATAATTTGAAATTGAAACATTAGCAACGACATATTAGGAAGTTGAATGGAAAAATATGAAAAAATATAAAAGAATCAATGTCTTGAGTAAGATTCAAACTCTAATATTATATAACGACAAAATTGGGTGTTTGACTGAAGCCATTGAAAAGTCATGAAAAGAAAGAAGTCTTTGTCACATACCTTAGATGACAACAAAACAAGTGGAGAAAATGATAGACCAAATGAGCGTATTTGAAATCAACCTCAAAAGTAGAGATAATTGTTGATAAATCATGTATCTTTAGACCAAGCTTCAATCATAATTGATGTGAAAATAATAAATTTTGAAGCAAATAATTAGTGAAGAGTAAGGCCATATATTCTATCTGGTAATATGTCGACATAGTATGTGAAGATAATGATGAATTTACCAACATTATTTGAGCTTGGACTTGAAAGAAAAAATTTTCATTGATAAACTAAAAATCTCTAGACAATCTTAGACATAATGAATATGAGAATATCAAACTTTGAAAGAATAAGCCAAAGTCATTGGCACATTCATAGAGTAATGGAAAGAAATTTAAATTCACATTATCATTGTTTCAAGTGATGAAAACTTAAGAAAATGTCAGAGAATATAACAAGCATATGAATAACAAAAATAAACTTTTTGAACAACAAAATGTTTCTATCACCTTCATTTAAGTTCAATAGAAGAGTATATGCTTCCATATGTAAAACTCAAGCTGACACATGCTTCAAATAAGAATTGAAAGTTGTATGAAATAGATGACTCTATTGTGGTGATTCAAGTCAACACTCATTTCAAGTGTTCTCTCTCTCTATTAGGCCTTAAGGTACTTGGGTGGTGTGTGCAGAGAGGTTTGGGCTAAGGCATATGTCATAAGAGTCTATTAGCACTCATGATAGGTGTGGCCCTTGGAGAGATCAGTGTATTTAATTAAAGCATGTGGTGTTGAGCATCAAAATGTGTCCATGAGGGGTGTCATCTCTATGGAGATTGTACCAGATTAATTAGGTCACTGATTTTATAAATTTAACTAATATTTCTAGAAGAAAATACTAAACTTTGATAGTAAGAATCATTAGAAATTAGATGTAACTTAGTGAGGCATGAACTAGTATAAAACTCTTTGTGTTCTTAGTGATGATAAAATAGATAGATAGAGAGAGAGAGATTAGAGTGAACTTGCATAAAGAGAGAGACTTATTTGAATAAACCTATACTTAAAATAGAGAAGTTGTTTGAGAACATGTATTGACACATTCACTTGTAAACATAGTAGAAGAATATAACAGAAATCATAATAAACCAATTAATCTCTCTCTCTTGATGTTCTACTTAGTCATATTGAACCCAATAGATAGGAGTGAAGTTGATACAAATTTACCTAAAAGTTAAAATGAGTAATGAGAAGTGAAAAATTAACCTCCCATGGAGCCTTATCTAAGAAGATCTTGTAGATAGCATCAACCTTCTAATGTGAGACAATGCAATGAAATTAGAAATTTAAATTCAATGATCACAATGTTATCTACTTGTTTCAGTCAACATAAGGAGATAACTTAAAATTAATTATTCCCACGACTTTGAATGAGTGGGATCTTTATGTTTCTTTGAATTGAGGTGTTCAATTTTAATAGAGTAAATCAAATCTTAGTAGGTGAAATATAGATTATCTAAAAAAATTTAATTTACTAACTATTATATATCTAAACAAAAGGATTAAGAGTAAGGGTAATGGAATGAAGATTAAATTAGATCTAGAAGATGGGAGAGTTATGATACCGTGAGTGATACTCGATCTACCCATGATCTGATGAAGCTTAAGAACTCTTTGTAAGGTATTTGATCTACTAAAGATTGTAGAGATGATGGTAGAGTAAGGGAGGAATGAGTAGAGAAAGTAGGAGAAAAAGAAAGGAAAATAAGAAGATTTGATCAAGATAGATCAAATTAATAGAGATAAATAGAAGATGATGAAGAGAATAGAATAAAGAGAATGATAACACTTGTCAACTTTTCCCTAATATCAGTCTTTTTCTTTAAGATTTTGTGGCCCCTTTTTTATAGGTTACTCCAAAGGCAAGGTAATTACAAAGGTTGTTATAGAAACATCCTCTTCTATGTGGCCCACTTAAGCTCATTATCTCTCTCTCTTCTCTCACCTATATAAACATATGTATCTCATTATTTAGTGTTAATATAATATTAGGATTTAACCTTTCCTTGTCAATATGGTATTAGAGCCCTAGGTTCTTCATAATCTTCACTGCTACCATCGTGTTGTTGCCACCACACTTGTTGTCGTCATCATGCCCTTGCCACTGCATCCTTTGCATATTGTCCCCTCTCTCTCTCTTTACATGCTATTGTGCCGTTGCACCACATGCAACCAACATACTGGCACCTGCCCTACCATCATGGCCCCTCTATTGTTGCAGCACCCCCTGCCACCATAGCCCCCCCTTGCTGTCATAGCCCCTACCACCACAAGTGCCCTATCGTCATGGCCTTTGCCCTTGCAGCATCTACTGCTGCAGCCCCTGCCGTCACAGCCCTTGCCGTCACAGCCCTTGTCATCGTGGGATCTGTTGTCATGGTATCTTGTGGTATCTTATAGTATCTATCGATATGTGTCATTATATTACAATATTGTCTTTTACTACACCACCTCTCGAGGTATCTTGTAGTATATCATGGTATCTTGATGTTGTCTCTTACTATACCACTTGTCACAAAGTTCACTTAGTTGCTCGTGGCTTCACTCAAGCCTATGACATAGATTACATAGAGACCTTTTATCTTATGGTCCGATTGAACATTATTCGGATTCTTCTTTTATTAATAGTGCATCATGATTTATCACTTCATCAATTAGATATGTCTAATGTCTTCCTCTATGGTGACTTAAAAGAGTAATTTTTTATAGAACAACCTCTAAGGTATGTTACTCAAGAAGAGTCTTCTTAGGTTTTTTTGCTTTAACATGTTATATATGGACTCAAGTAGAGTTATCAAACCTGATTTCTAAAGTTTAGTAGCCTTCTTATTATCTTCGACTTCACTTGACCCCACTATCTTGATGAAGACCATACCTAAAGGTATGGGTATTCTAACCATATATGTTGATGACATTATTATGATGAAGATTGATGTGACATACATCTTTGTCACCAAAGTCTACCTATAGCAACACTTTGTCACAAGAGACTTGGGGACACTACACTACTTCTTTGAAATAAGGTTTACTTATCAATCGAGGAAGTTAACTTTATCTCAGATAAAATATGTCATCAACCTTCTTCAAGAAATGGGACTTCTTAATTGTGAATCAAAGTCATCACTTATAGAGGCGTGTCCAAAATTATAAGATATTACCACACCTCTAATGGAAGATGCTAATCGATATCGGCGATTATTGGAGAAACTGATATATCTCACTCTTACTCATCCTAATATCATGTATATAGTTGTGTTCTCAGCCAATTTTTATAGGAGCCTCATTAAGTCTAGTGAGAGGGAGCACGTGTCTTAACTTATTCAAATGAGCTCTAGAAAAAGGGCTCATCTATAGACGTCATGGTCACCTACATGTAAAGCCTACTTAGATGCTAGGTATGTTGTGACAAAAGATATTAGAAATCAACGACTGACTACTACATGTATGTTAGTGGTAACTTAGTCATTTAGCACTCTTGAAAGCAAAAGGTGATATCTTGTTCTAATATAGAAGTCGAATATCGTGTTATGGCTAAGACAACATGTGAGATGGTATGACTTTGCTCTCTTTTAGAGATCTTAGGTGTTACTTCTTATACACATGCCTATGTATTGTGACAATCAAATAGAAATTTTCATTGTCAGAAATCTCACATTCACGAGCAGATAAAACACATCAAAATTAATTGTTACTACATCTGGGATAAGGTTTTGATAGGGGTTATCTCCACATCACATGTCACTTCATCTAATCAACTGATAGACATCTTCATCAAGAGCCTTATAAAAGTGTTCTATGATGATTTATGTACAAATTTGAGTATGTTTGATTTATATGTTCTAGCTTGAGAGGGAGTGTTCTAACATTTTCTTTTACGTGACCCGCTTGGGCTCATTATCTCTCTTTCTATTTCCACCTATATAAACACATGTATCTATTCATTTAATGTTAATCCAATCTTAAGATTTAACTTTTTCTTGTCAACACAAAGAAGGAATGAGAATGACACCTCCTTAGTGAGTGCATAGAGAGGAGGGCTCAACACATCAAAAGGGAGAATGACACAAAGAAGAAGTTTTTCAACAAATTTGTTATGAGCAATACAAAATTAGTTAGTTCTCTTTTTTCTAATCACTTAAAGTTTAAGGTATACTCCATCCAGTGATGAAGACAATTCTCCATGCTTCTTCAACTATTTGAAGCTTAATATATGCAGTGATTTGTACAAAGGCATACATTACGTATGCTCTTGGTGTTCTTACTAACTTTCTTACAAATCCAAAGAATGAATATTGGTTAGTAATGAAGTGGATATTAAAATATCTTAAAGAAAGCTCTAAAATTTACTTGAGCTTTGGATGTGGTACTTATGTATTAACATGTTATACTAATGTAGATGTGGCCAAAGATATTGACATGTGAAGTCCACTTCAGATTATATAATCACTATTATAAGGAGAGTTGTCTCATGACAGTCAAAATTGTAAACACACATTGTTCTTTCAACTATAGAGCCTATGTAGATTATTGTTACTAAGATTCATAAATAAATGTTGTGGATGAAGGAATACTTAAGACTGAAGCTAAAGGAATTTTTTTTTTTTTTTGTGATGATCAAAGTGTCATTTGTTTGTGCACGAATCCAACATTTTATTTTAAGTCAATGCATATAGATGTCTGCTATCATCAGATTAGAAGTGTGATTGAATAGAAGTAATTACATATCAAGAAGATTTATATAGATGATAAAAAAGTAGACATGATGACAAAAACTTTGCTAAAAGTGAAACACGAAGTTTGCATGTGACTCATTTAATGGTCAAGTGTCTCATTCTTCTTAATCTTAAGAGTCACATTTCAGCACATGCCCCAGCTCTTGTTGGACAAGAGCTTTTTAAAGACATTTTGTCCATACCTTACCTGTTGATGTCTTCTTGTTTTCTGGCCTAAATGGCAGTGTCTAGAGTGAAGATGAAAAACTAGCAAAGGAAGTGGGCAAGATCGCTTGCTCAACACCTAGAAGGGTGGAGAGTCACTAGTTGTTGAGTAGTAGAAAGGAGGAGCTTGCATCCTTAGGTTTTGCTGTGCCATTTGGTCTTCTTTTGTTGTTAATTAGAGCCTATGTTACAATAGAATAGACAAAGAGAGAAGGAACTTGGGAAGAAGAGGATGGTTTATTTAAACATTATTCTTACTATAATATTAGATTACCAATATGGTTTTGGTTGGATCAACTGAAATAATCTCATTACTGTGAACTTGGTTATATAACCTTTTTATCTCTCATTACTCTCTCTTATACTTTATCACTTGGGTCAATTTAGGGATCGGGTCTAATGATTCTACTGCTAAATGCTGCAACATTATTCTTGATTGGTTTATGAAATTTTTTACTTCAAGTTAAAGTATCTCGAGATTATAATATCTCTTGGTGTTGTATATCATTCTCGAGATTGTTTGAGTTCGTGGTGACTAAAAGCTTCGTTTACATATTTTGTGCTATTTATCTTTAATATATATATATATATATATCTAGAGAGACATATTAGATATAAATAGAGAGAGAGAGAGAGGACCGTCATTAAGACAAAGGTGCCGCCAGGAGCGCGGAGCCATAACCCTGAAGAAGAAGCTCAGGAGGAAGCAGGAGCAGCTGGCGGATGGCAGCGACGGCGGACATGCCCCCCAAGTACAGAAGGAACGAAGAGAACGAGAAGGTCCACAACGACGGCGAAGGTCCTGAGTGGAGGAACGACGATCCCTCGTTGGGGGCCAAAATAAAGAGAGGAGCGGTGACGTGGAGAGAGAGAGAGAGAGAGAGAGAGAGAGAAAGATGGAGAAAGGAGATGAGAAGGGAAGAGGAGAGGGGAAGAGAGAAATCGCCATGTCGAAGCTGCAGCTGGGTGGGACGAACGAGGAGGAGAAGCTGGCAATGGGGATGAACAGGACAGTCAAGGCGGAGACGGGGAGCGTGACCGAGGCCCTGGAGCTGCTCCAGAGGAAATTAGGCTGAGCAACTGGAAAAACGTCTGGCGGAGATCGAAGACGAAGGAGTGGAGGAAAATGGCTGAGAAGTACAGGGGAAACTGAAGAAACTCGCTGATGACGGTAATGGGGGATCGGCGGCAGAAGGTGAGGAATGAGCAGCCCAAGCCGTCGTCGCTCGTTGTGAAGATGATAGAGAAATCGGTCCTGGGTAGGTTGATAAACTTTTATCAGTCTTGCACAGCTCTTTCTTGCCTAGAACTATGACTAAAAGTTTCTCTCTCTCTCTAGCCAGAAGCCTCTCCGTCAGTTTCTAAACATTTTTGGTTCTCTGTGGCTCCGGCCCATGTATCAAGGACTATGGAAGTGGGATTGGACTGAATACTTTGTACTGTTTATGTTCAGTCAAAGCCTGGTCACTAGATCTCATCCGGCCTTGAAAAAGGATGCGATACAGATCTTTCCTTCCCAAGACATTTCCGAATAAGATAAAACCATGCGCCAACTTCTTCAGATGGAATCGTCAAGCGTGCGATCATCCGTCATCACACTCAGGAATCCAGTTCCTAGAAACTTATTTCCAGAAAAAAACTACGAGAAAACATCACAAGGAAGCTTCTTTCCATAAACTCGCCAGAAAACTCTCAATTAATTACATTCCAATCACCCCACCATTCTTCAAGAAATTAACAAATTTGATACGAGGGTTTGATCAGATATCCGCATATTCGAACCATCCAAAGGAACTACGTGAAAAACTGTAATATAAAGGGGTCAAAACCATTTCGGACCCGGTCATCTTCTTTCTTCTCTTCATGATTCATGTCGCTTGTTGTTGCCGTCTTTTTTCACCAAAAAGAGTATTACCACATTAAACCAGACGTGATTAGTTATACCGCCATTCTTCATTCATTGAACAATTCATGCAACTTCAAAGCTACGGAGATAAACTTCAACATGATTCTGGCGGAGACTGGGACAGGAAGGAAAGAGGGGGTAGGTTGATGCCCGTGGCTTGAGGTGGTTGACTGTTCATTAGGCCTTGAAAGATTGCTGCAGGGTCCCAGTCATGCAACAACCAACAGGTTTCCCTCTCTTCCCAAGAAAACAGGAAACTTGAGTACAAAGGATTGCTCGGACCTCGCTTCCATTGTTGGACAAAGCCAAGCTCCTCTGATTGAGGCGGGCCAGAGCACTGGTCAGGACAGACCTCTTCAGTCCTCTGTTTCTCCATTCATATAATATAAAAGCCTGGTGTTAACGGCGATGATATCCCAGAGGAAAATTACACCTGGTATATGGAAAAAATAAACATTCTACCAAGCAGATGATCTGCGCTAGAGAGTCAAACGGGAGATTTTCTTTTTCTGAAGAATCTTGAAGGAACTCGAAACTAGGTTTTCTAAGACGATGGTCTCAGATACCTATAGAATCCCTCCACTGGAGAATGATTCCTGAAATTGGCCGAACTGCAATCATATCAGGCTGGTAAAAAGATTGTACCTTGTGCATTGAAGAGTGATTCTTGCCAGCCAGCTAGTGGAGAGTGGGTGGGGAGTTACTGCCGCTCTGGGCGTCTCCTCTCCAATCATCCTGGATCTGGGCAGCAAACTGCAGGTTCCAGAGTATGTCCTCGATGGACGGCCGCTCCAGTGGCTCTGCTGACAGGCATCGGATGCAGATTTCCATGACTATTCTCAGTGACTCGTCACAGGAGGCCTTGCGGATTGCCACATCCACCACGCTCCTCTGACGAGCCCCCCCGTCAGCAGTGATGCTGGCTTCGAACTGGGGTGGAAAGAGGAATCAATCAGGCCTAAATTTATATTAATATATATTCATGTATACGCAATCTGAATGAATCGGAGCAATATCCGGGCAAATTAATTTTAGAAAAAGAAAAATCTGTCCACCTGATCCTTTAGCATGTTCACATCAATCGTGGAAGTGACAGGTTGTCCGGAGATGACTTCCAGCAGGATCACTCCAAAATCATAAATATCCATTTTCTCCTCATTTTTATGCCTGAAAAATCCCCCATCTCAGATTAATTACGGTAGGTGTAGGATTTCATGTAAGGGATGATAAATATGGGAAAAGAAAAGGAAAATTTATCAGCTTCTTCAGAACTGACTTTCGATTAATTCCCCCTGAATCGGATCTACTGCGGCTGACATCAGTCGCCAGGCCAAGATCAGTTCTTTCAGAAATTTGTGCCTCTGGGCCATGTGCCCAATAAATGGGCCACGTGCCCAATAAATGGGCCACGTGCCCAACATTTGGTTCCAAATGAAGAAAGAGAAATCAATAATTGTTCTATTCGAGAAAGGAAAAAAAAAGGATATTTATCTACCTTCCCTTCGGTTCCTTTGATACATTTGACGAACTCCCTGTTGCAATCTGTGAGAGATGGCGTGTATCAAAATCCACATTTTTTTTGGTAGAGGTGACAAAAGAGTTTAAAATTATATACACATGGAATTTATTCCATTCTTACCTCAATACGCATGCTGTCGGCTATTATTGGGAGATTATAGCTGCTAATTTTGGCAACCAGGTTGTGATCCAAGACGACATTGGTCGCCGTCACGCCATTTGCGAACAGACCAGGTATGATCCCAGCATGGAGGAACTGGATGCCCTTGGCCACACCAATCGCTGCGGATATCCTCTGAGACCATGTGAGCTGGTGCCCACCCACTTCCTCTGCCCAATTTGAATGAATCGAGAAATGAATAGCTCCTCATAGAACGGAGGGGGAAAAGGTACTAACAATATAGAATCAGTCATAAAGCGGGCAAGAAAATTATTGGGAGCAGATAAAATCTCATCAAGATGAACTCAGACCAGAATGATACGACAAATAATAGACGGTTAGAGTGAAATTTTTTTTGGAAAAAAGGGTGGAAAGGGCGTCAAAACATGCAGAGGGAATGAATCAAAGGAAACCCAGTGATCTTACCACAGAGATTGCTTCTTAAAGTCCCATTGGTGACATACTCAAAGACGAGGAAGACTCTGCTGACAGAGGAGTCGTCGAGGTAGTACTCAAAGCAGTGGCCGAGGGCACTGACCAAATGCTGATGACGGAGCTTTGAGAACAGCTCAATGTAGCGGGTGAAGTTCTGGGAGCGGGAAACGTGGCTCTTCTTCAACTTCAGGCATCTGATTGCCACCATGGTTTTATCATTCAACCTTCCCCAGTACATCTGCAGCCACCACAGATGCTTTTCAGTAGCCCTCAACCAAAAAGAAGAAAAAAAGAAGAAAAAAAAACTTGCTAGTCCGCTGAGATCAGGTGTCCAATGATGCACCAGAATGATGGTCCAAACATACCACCGATCAAAATAAAAACATGAGAAAAAAAAGAGTAAAGTCCCACATGAACCCACATGGCATGCATCATCCAAAGTTTGAATCGCAGTGAAAGGCCTGGCTCACCTCGCCATGTGAGCCTTCATCCAAGAAGGCGGATGTTTCAAAGCCGTTTGTAGCCGCTTCAAGTTCCTCCAAGGAGAAGGACCTGTAAGATGGAATACCGAGCGCCCCCAGCTTGATCGTCTGCGAGATGTACCCTTTTACGCACAAGGGCAACACAGAAAAAATGGACAGCAGTGATCATGAGAAATCCGTAGGGTTCTACCAAGTTCAGGTGGATAATTGAGAGGATTCAGTCGGGGTGGGGGGCTCACTGGCATCAGAGAGCAGCTTGGAGGGATAGCCATTGGAGGCATGCTCGACCAGCCTCCTAGGCGGCTTCGTCCTCGCGTTCCTCTTATTCAGTTTTCTGAGAGTGAAGAGGCCCAACAAGGCCAGGAAGACTGTGGCCATGGCCGCCGCCGCCACACTAGCCGCGACGGCTGTCTTCCGGCTTGACCCCTTCCGTGGCCTCGTGGGGATCACCCCCACAGCCAGGGCCTGAGTTCTGCAGAAGGAATATGGGTGCTGGGGCTGAGCCATGTCGCTCAGGCAATTCATCAAATAGGAGACGTTGTTTGGAGTCGATTCTCTGGCGAGGCATGCCGGCAGGCTGCCCGTGAGGAGGTTGAAGGAGAAGTCGACGAACTCGAGGCCGTCGTTGCAGGAGAGATTTGAGAAGAGCAACCCGGTGAACCTGTTCCCGGCGATGTCCAAGTGACGAATGGACGGCAGGGAGAGCAATGCCGGCGGGAAGGGCCCGACGAACCTGTTGTGGGAGATGTCGAGCTTCTGCAGGAGATGGTATGAAGTCACATCGGTGGGGAGGCCGCCGGTGAAGGTGTTGTTCCTCAGCACCACTGTCGCCACCTTCTTCCCCAGCTCCGGGAAGACGGGGCCCAGACGGTTGTCTCCCACGTCGAGGACCTGCAGGTTGGTGAGCCCGGTGAGGTCCGGCAGGCCGCCGGAGAGGTTGTTGGCGGAGAAGATGAGCACGCGGAGGCCCTCGAGGTTGGCCAGCGACTCTGGCAGCTCCCCGCTGAGGGAGTTGTTCCGGACACTGACCACCGCGAGGCGGGAGAGCTGGCCGAGCCCGGCGGGGACCTCGCCGGAGAACATGTTGTGGTCGAGGATGAGGCTCTGGAGCTCAACGAGAGAGGACAGCTCGCCGGGAAGGGGACCGGAGAGGAAATTGGAGCTGAGGTTGAGGATTTCGAGGGAGGAGAGGCGGGCGAGCTTGTGTCCGGGTAGGGAGCCCCACAGGCCGAGGGAGGAGAGGGAGAGGACTTTGAGGTTCGGGAGGCGGGTGAGGGTGGTGAAGAATGAGTTGACGGAGAAGCTGCGGGGGAGAGGAGGGGAGCCGTCGGCGCCGGCGATGTGCAGCTGACTGACCCCATCGCCGTAGCAGACGACGGTGAGGGAGGGGGAGGGGTCACCGGAACAGGGGTCTGTGTTGTTGGTCCAGCTGGCGAGGACCGGGGGGTGGCCGAGGAGGCGCCGCAGGCGTAGAAGAGACCAGACCTGGGAGGACTTGACCTGGTTGGTGGCGGCGGCGGTAGAGCTGAGAACAAGGACGAGCAGAACGGCTGCCGGAAAGCCCCCGCCCGCCGCCATTGCCGGAAAACCAGACGTTGCTGGGATCTTCCAGATCAAACTCCGGCGCCATCCATCACTTTCTGATGTTTTCCTTCCGCTGTTTTCCGAGAGAAAACCTACAGTTTTCCCTGGCAAGAACTTCTCAAGCGTCGCATCACACAAGCCTCTCGGCAGGAGACTTTTTGAATGTGCAGAAGCAAGTAGCGAGCGAGCTACAGAGAGACGGAGAGAGTCCCACAGGCCGCTTTACTCGAAGATGCCTCTGTGGCTCTCTAATGCCCGCCACAAACTCGCCTTGCCAGACAGCTGCCCTTCTCAGCTCCGACGTACCCTGCCAGATGCTGCCAGTTCCATGTATCCCCCCCGGCTCTGTGCGCTCTCTATCTTCCCTCCCTCTGTTACGGAGATGGGTCACGGGGTGGTGCAGAGCAGAGGGGGGGGCCTAGAGGGAACAAACGAGGCGCAGGCTAGCAGAGCTGGAGGGCGACGGTGGCGGATTGGTTCTATCCGAGAAAAGCGCCAAAGCGATGAAGCCCACTCGAGGCCTTTTGTTCCGCGTTTAACTTTTCCCTTCCCTCAGCTGACCACTGTAGAGCCAGAGAGGGAGAGAGAAAGATGGATGAAATTACTCCATTATTGATGCTCGTTTCCTCGAGGGAACTTTTCTGAACCCCCATTGCAGAGTGCACTCACCTTTCGAAGCTCGACCTATGACTCCATCTAGAGAGAGAAAGATACCTGCTCTATTCTCGCGACCATGGGCATGGCTCCTTTTGGCTACACATGCGAAGGTGCCCTGGAGTTTTTCCTTTGGACTGTAAAGCTAGGGGGTTACTGTCGAGGGGAGGGAAGCCGGCACTTTGTCTTTAGCAGAGGATCTCTGCGGGCACTCCTGCTCTAAGCTCTCTCTCTCTCTCTCTTTGTAGTTAAATAACTAAGAAGAGATCATCATGTGAGTAAAAGTAAGGGCGGTAACCTACACCAAGACAGAAATGAATACGGGCACAATGACTGGCCCAAGAACAGCCCGGCCAGATTCTTCTAGCCTAGTCTAGGAGGCCCATCTTCCTCTCACTAAGGCCCTCCATCTCACATGATCCCTCTTGCCAACTGGCGGCTATAAAGTAGAGCACTGTTGACAGATGGAATTTCCTCCAATTTCAGGTCACGAGGGTGGTCCTCTTGAAAGACCCACCAGCAAGAAAGATACGAAGGCATCCTTCGAGCATGCTCCCCCCCCCTGAAAGCGGCAAGATTATCCTACAAACTACCTGGTTCTACATCTGGTTATAATACCAGTCCAAGTACCTGGGGATGCCCATGAACCAATGTTTACTTATTCTGAGCTTGATTTCTCCGGTGCAAGTTCCAGAAAGACCAGGCCCTTTTGACATGAGCCACATGCAGAGCTTTTGTCAAAATGGATGGAGCACTATATTCTTGTGGTGCTCTATTTCATGAGTTGGTACTCAGCGTAGTGGGGATGGCCCACTTGCTCTTTATCCTACTCTCATCTAGGGCTTGATACTGAGCCCCTCTCCCTTCAATTTTCTTGGACTAGGTGATAAGGTTTGACAACGGCTGATGTAGAACAGAGTTGCAGAAACAGAAACGGCTCAAAAGGCACTGCTCAATAGGGCCCAACAGGTGAAACCAGGAAGAGCCAAACTGAGCTATTTGACAGGTAGAAACACTTTTTATTTCACATGATTAATAACTAATAATTGTTGTCTAGGAAATGTTGCTGAACTGTTAAACAGTTTCTTACCAAATATACTATTCTGGTGATCTTATAATTGATTGTCTCATTCCTAGGAGGAGCAGATTCTAGATGAAGAGAGTTTTTTCAACCTTGAAATATTATCTATTCTTCTCTATGTACTTGAGAGTTTGGGTAACCCTTGTGGATTCCATGAGCGCTACCTTGTGGATGCGCTGTGCTATTTCTTATCCACATCATCAATTAGGCTTGAAGCTAATTCTAGGTCAATTATTTCTTCTTTTCTAGTTTGAGATGGGAAAGTGTCAAAGAGTTAACCTAGAAAGCCATGTTTTGAAAAAAAAAACTTAAATTATTCTTTTTTTTTTGTTAGGTTCAATATTTTGTACATCCTAGCCTGAAAACATAGAGCATGTTTTCTCTATTAATTGTCCACAGTTACTCATATCTTAGTGTACTCTCTCTCCATCCTCTGTCCTCTTTATTGGCTTTTGAAGCCTTTCTAGTTTGAATGTTGATAAAATACAAAAAATAGTAAAATTTTGAATTTTCGCAACTAAATGTACATTGAAATTTTATTAATGTCTTGAAAAAACATTTTTCCAACTTTTTTAGAGATATGCGTGATTTTGAGACTATTTACAAAAGTTTGTTGGCTTTAAAAGCCGAATATGTTTTGGTGGTGATCACAAACATACATATGCCTGATGAATAACTATAGAATTAAGGATTGATGATTTGGATGATTAACATCAGGGAATGACTTAATTTATCATTTTTATTGACTTATAAAAAGTAATGGTTATGAATCCTTGGAAAATAGTTAGCAAGTTTTAAGAGTCCAACAAAAATTACCTATTCATGATCTGAGATTGATGATGTATATTTGAAATATCCACTTGAAGTTATTCTTATAGTTTGTGTAAATATTTTCAATGAAAATTACACTTTAAATCGTTTTATTAGAAGTAATGATTTTTGAATGTATGGAATGCACATATATTGGCTGTGAAGTGAGAGATCAAAAGTATAACATATTATATTTCTATTTGAGAATTTCATATTCAAGATATCTTTTAGGTTGTCTCAAATAGTTTTTTTATGCTGCCACATCTGACATGTGAGACTCATGATAAATGGATTTCAAGTAATTATTTAGAATTTTAAAATTCACATAAATATACTTTGAAGCTACCAAAATTTTCAGATAAATTGATACTCCAAGGTATCACTTGAATTTACATTCAAAATCATTACTACATACACGAGAAAAACATTCTATAGGAGAAAAATGGTATGAAATACTTTATGACACACCTTTTTCTTACAAAATAGATCCCTCAACAAACTTGAATGTGCAGGATTTGTAGGAATGCTAACTTGAAGTCAAACACAACACAATAAGTAGGGCACAATACTTCAAAGAACTAAATTTCTTCTTTCTTTAAAGAAATTAATGTACATATTCACTCTTGAACAGCAGGCACACAAATCCTATAGATGGTTTTCACAAAATAAGATGGTTTTCACTTAATGGGCATATTATTTAGCAGCAGTTCTCACAAAATTAAGTGGAAGATGTGCATATAATTTACTCTTAATAGAGCGTCCAATATCTATTAAGAGAATATGCACACTAAGAACACATCCCTCAAGATAATATGCACATTAAAATCAAGAGCATGTTTGCCCTAGACATTGGATGCTCTATTCAGAGGAGATTAAAGGGGAGGTCGTCCCCAACCTAGGTCAAGAAGAGGAGCAAAGGGTGGCCAAAAAGGAGCCACCATGCCTCTGCTCCTCCATGGAGACCAAGTATGGTTGTTGATACTTGAAAGCCCAAAATGGGAAAAGAAATGGCTGCTCAAGTCTTTCAAAGTTACTATTAGATTCAAACTTTTCTAATGAGCTATTTAGGGAGTAAAGCCTCAATAAGAAGAAAGAAACTAGATAAAAGTATCAATAGAAAAAAGTAGACTAAAATAAAGTCTACAAGTTGCAACTCAAGACCATCATGTCTTCATATAGATGAAGCTTCTTCAACACTAAATTAGAGGTCTCAATACTCAAGGAACATGAAAATTTCACACTAGTGTATCACATGATAGTGTTATTATATGATGAGTGAATAGATGAGTAGTGTTGTAACTCTTCTCAGGCATTTTAGAACAAAGTATCTAGAGATGCATTTTGTGACAAAATTCATCTGACAAAATTTATAGTAGTGAATCTAAAGATAATTTTTGGTGAAATGTTTAGTGTAGGGATCTAAGAACTTATCAGCTATTGGACCATCTAGAGCCATTAACCTAAAGAGAGTTTCAAAGACAAATTATATGAGAACTGAACCCTTATAATTATTGGTCTGTGCACTAAGATATTAATGGACTCAAGAGCATGGTACCATTAAAGACCAAACTACCATAAAAATGTTGTAAATTAGATAGCTGAGCTTCTATAGAAATGTTGTATGCCTTTCTTTGAAACATATGGTGTGAAAAAGAAACCATCAAGAAAAAAGAATATGGATGATAAGACAAAAAGAGAACCAATTCAAACCCCATTTCTAAATTTAGTGCTAACTCATTAAGCACAACAAAACTACTATATCTCTCTATTTTTAATAAAGAAAATGGTTCATGAGTTCAATTTACTTCATTTAATTGAGTTTTTACACTAAGGAAGAAGTCATGTAATGGCATAAAGATAGTCTTTATCAATTTGAAAATCATATTTAACTTGTGAGAAAGTTTCAAATATGTTCGGAATTAGTTGCTTACAAAGTTTTGCTTTCACTTCCTTGAAATGAGGTAAGTTAACAAAGCATAAGAGTATATTTATAACTTGATATATCACAAAGATATTTACATATCTTTTTCACTTTAAAATATATTTAAAATACTTTATTATGGTATCTGAAAAAGCACCTGAAGTATATGAGGCTTTTTACATTAAATTTATGTTTTTCCTACCCTCTACAAAGATGGGTTCACCCATGGGTTATCTCACTTGATACAATAAAGCTTGTCATGTAGTCAATTTTAGTAGTTTAGAGAAAATACAAAATAAATAGAAAAGATATTGTACAATTAGATAGGTCATGACTTGTTCTAAGTTTTGATGATGACCATAGCACAGAAGGGTATTAGATATTTGGACTAGTATGAAGATTGATGATGGAAATCTGGTGTGTAGATTTTTATTTACTAGATAATTGTCTGAAATTTCCTACATTTTCATCTTGCCTTATCTTAGACTAATTAAGGAGTAATAAATCTTTTACTTGAAATGACGTAAA